TGGCAAAGAAGTTTTTGTAAGCCGCCCTGAGCCCGTTCATGGGGAGGGCAGGGTATAAATACAAAAATAAATAAGTAAATATTTATAGATACTTATAATGCTCGCTTTTGTGACAAGGAAATGTAGGATACTTTGATCAACACCCAAGAGACACTGGCCTAGACAGATCACTCTCTTTCCTGGGAACAAAGGAAAGAGAGTTGCTCTGTCATCTTGGTGCTTTGGGGGGGGGGTCAACAGTGGGAGGGCTTCTAATGTCCTGGCCCCACTGGTGGACCTCCTGATGGCACTGGTATTTCTGGCCATTGTGTGATACAGAGTGTTGGACTGGATGGCCCTTTGGCCTGATCCAATATTGGCATCTCTTATGTTCTTAAAGCAGTAGACCAGGGGTGTCAAACATGCAGCCTGGGGGCTGGATTAGGCTCCCGGAGGGCGGCCCGCAGTGGAACTGGCTGTCTTCTGCTGCTGCTGTGTCATCGTAGGTTTGCAGCTTACAGATACACACCTGAACAGCAAGATTGCAACAGCACAGATATTTTGATGCAATAATTCAGAGCAAGAGGTGTCAGTTATCAGATACTGTTAAATAAACAAAATATTGCAATGGTGCTAATGTTTGAAGCATGTTTTTATTTTAAGGGGGGAAAAAACCCTTTGTGTTTGTGTCCTTTATAAAGTTTATATCTCCACTACCTGGCATTACATTTTATGACACACATGGCCCGGCCCAACAAGGTCTCATTTATGTCAGATCCGGCCCTCATAACAAATGAGTTCGACATCCCTGCAGTAGACTTCTTGGATCTCAGACTGAGAGAACATGGGTTCACCATTATGGAGACAAATCAGCAGGATAGAGTTGCCAGGTTCCCCCTGGCCACTGGCAGGGGATGGGGGAGCAGGGTTGCCAGATCCAGGTTGGAAAACTCCTGGAGATTTGGGGATGGAGCCTGGGGAAGACAGGGACCTCAGTGGGATACAGTGCCATAGAATCTACCTTCCCAACCATCCATTTTCTCCAGGGCAACTGATCTCTGTAATGTGGAAAGATAACCTGTAATTCCAAGGGGATCCCCCGGTGCCACCTGGAGGCTATCATCCCTAGCACAGAGATTATCATTCGCCACCTGCCCAGAAGGGGCAAGATAGAGTTAGGGCCAGAAAAGTTGGGGATGTGTGTGTGAGGCAAAGCACCCCGATTCCCTTCAAGGGTTAATGTGAATATTAGCAGGCCTGCTCTGGCTTGCAAGTGTCAAAAATTGGGCCTTATCCCTTTCAAGGCCGGACTGAAGATGTGATAATTGGCTAATCATGAGAACCTATCTTCAGTTGTGTAACAGGATGGGAGGGGGGGGAACAGGAGGGGGTGTTGTCATCTTCTGGAGGATTCCCTCAAGCGAGCTCCCTGATTGTGAGACCACTTGGTGCCAGATGACCAAAGACTATAATTAAGCCACAGGCAAGAGGGACACCATGCTAACTTTATGATTTGACCGGGCTGTTGCTCTGTGTTATGCTTCATCGCAATGGACAGCTGCATAGAAAACACTTAAGCCTCAAGCTTGGACTGCCATATTCTAAGAAGGTGTGCCATCTCATACCAGGTACTGAAGTATTAGATAGAAAGTTAGCTTTGTTGTTTTCTTGCTATTAAATTGCACACTGTGTTGCACAGTAATATCCTGTCTTTTAAAAATATTTAATAAACCTTCATACATTTTTACTTGTGTACACATAACCTTGAGGACCCACGCACCCACCGATATGTGGTGTCCCTCAGGGGGCTATTCTCTCCCCAATGTTATTTAACATCTCATGCACCCCCTTGCCCAGCTGGTGTGGAGTTTTGAGTTGGGCTGGCACCAGTATGCTGATGACACCCAACTGTATCTGTTGATGAGTGGCCAGAGATTACTCCAGCTACCCTGGCTGAGGGACTGGAGGCACTGGTTGGATGGCTGAAGCAGAGCCATTTGAAACTAAATCCACTGAAGACAGAGGTCCTCATGCCCGTAGCTAGGAATTTCTAAGTTGGGGAGCATTTTAATTTTTCGGGGGGCACTGGCTAAATCAATTAAAGGTAACTCATGCACTTCAGCCCGCCCGAGAGAGGTGCGATGCAGGGGGGAGGCAAGGAGAAGCAGAGGCGCAAGGGGAGTTTGTGGCGGCCGCCACATCTTGCCAGAGAGTCGGGGGGGCTGGGCTGAAAGGAAGTTGGGGGGGGCTAAGCCGCAAAATGCCCCACTGTAGCTACGGGCCTGGAGGTCCTGCTGCTGGGTCAAGATGATGCAGGGGCAGGATGCCAACTTCCCTCTCTTGATGGGGTGCCCCTGACACTGGCGTACACCGCCAAGAGTTATGGGGTGATTCTGGATGCCTCCCTATCCATGGAGGCACAGATCACCAGTGTAACTAGAATGGCATTTTTCCATTTACACGGGGCTAGACAACTGGCTCCTTACCTGTCCCGCCAAGACCTAGCCACCGTGATCCATGCAACAGTCACCTCCAGTCAGACCAGAGTAGTGTAACTCGCTCTACACATTAACACACCTCCAGTCAGACCAGAGTAGTGTAACTCGCTCTACACAGGGCTACCCTTGAGGCTGACCCAGAAACGTCAGCTGGTCCTCATGGGGACCCGGATGAGAGCACATATCCAAAGTGTGCTTCACCAACTGCATTGGCTCCCAGTTTGGCCCTGGATCAGATTCAAGGTTATGGTATTTTTTCATTTTAAAAAAAAGTTTCAATGAACATTTATTTCATTTTTATAAAAAGTGCTTTTTCACATGAAATACCCAACATTCATCAGAACCTGGAGCAATCTTGGATGAAGAGGAAGCCATACTGCTCTGCTCAGGAGGACGTATAATCCTAGGCTCCCTGCAGAATTGTTAAGTCAATTATGTTAGTGCACATAGCAAGAGGTTTTCATCCCCCCCCTTAGCCTTTTGGTGAAGGGCTGAACAAGGATGTATAGATGAGACTGTGTGAACGCAGTTTCGCCGCCGCCACCACCCTGGACTTTCGGGTCCCTCGGGAGTCCCAGGGTATCTCCCAAGCCCTTGCTAACCGAGTGTTACAGGCGTGAATGACCCAGGCAGACACCAACCAAATCATACGGAACAGGGTTTTTTAGGAAAAGTGGGCAAGGTGCGTCAACTGGATAACGGGAAAGGTCAAATGAAAATAAATTAATGCAACTGCCTTACTTGGCTTTTTTTATCAGGCCCCAGCCTGCCTAACTCACTCAGGCTTCTCCTTCTCCCAGCCTGGCCTGTCTCTCACGAGACCCAGCCACAGGGAGGCAAAGGACTGAGGGCTTCTCCCCTTCTCGCTCAGAGACTCCAGCTACCATCAACCAGCAACTGCCTTCAACTGTCTTCCCCCAGACTTTGTTCCCAACAGATTCTAACGGTCTCCTTTAGAATCTTTCCTGACTCTCCCAATGCCTTCTGGGAGTTGTAGGCCTAGCCGCCTCCTACTGCCACCCAGGCCTCTTAAGCTGGCTAGGCCGTACTGGCACAGGCCAGATCATGACAGATGTATAGATGAGACTGTATGAACGCGATCCTCTGTAAATGGATCCAGAAGTAAATCCCCTTGTAATCAGTGCTGTGGTGCTTTACAGAACTCTGAACATGGAAACTTGTAGGGGATCCACACACTGTGGGATAGTGTGCTATTGTATTCATCAGCATTTTCCTAGGCAGACAAGAACCCCATGAAGAACACAGTGCAAAATCCAAGGAACCTCTTTGTTCTGTGACTATATTTACCACTAGCCCGTCCCCGGCCACTACAAAGTCCGCCTCCTGCCACTCTTTAGAAGGAAAGCTGGGCTAGATCATCAGCTGCCAGAAAAGACTACTCAGTGGCATCAACTAGTCACAGCAGCTTTTATTATTAAAGAAGGGGGGGAACCAATTTCATTACTTGATCGACACTCTCCTTTTTCTATACTCCTTGGATTATGTGCAGGGACTTGTGTATTTTATTCGGCTTCCTATGGAGCACAGAGGAGCTGCAGTGGCTCAAGTGGTTAAGACGCTGAACTGCAGGCTGTGGAAGGTCGGTAGTTCAGCAGTTCGAGACCCGAGTGTGCCGGATGACGGAGTGAGCTCCCGTCTCTAGTTCCAGCTCCTGCCAACCTAGCAGTTCGAAAGCAAGAAATTGCAAGTAGATAAATAGGGACCACTTCGGTGGGAAGGTAACAGCGTTCCGTGCACCTTGGTGTTTAGTCATGCCGGCCACATGACCACGGAAATGTCTTCGGACAGCGCTGGCTCTTCAGCTTTGAAACAGATGAACACCGCAACCCTAGAGTCGGATTCGAACCTTTACCTTTACTTTATGGAGCACAGGGACCTCAGTGGGTTACAATGCCATAAATTCCACCCTCCATAGCATTCATTTTTGGTAGGGGAACTGATCACTGTAGTCTGGAGATGAGCTGTAATTTCGGGGGATCCCCACGTCCCACCTGGAGGTTGGCATCCCTAACTGCACAGGGTCTCCCTCTTCATGTATTCCTGGCAACTATCTCGGCCCACCTGGAGGCTGGCATCCCTAACTGCACTATCTCGTGAGGGAGGTTAGTTCGGGAGGGAGCTTCAGTTACGTCTCCTCCGACTTTCACTCTTAACCACTAAACCACGCCGGCTGTGCACCTCTTTAAGCGCTATGCAAAATAAGAACAGTGCCACCCGCCAAGGGATCCGAAAAAAACACATTATGCAGGTCTGCAAATCCTACCCGGCAAGAAGAGGCCGCCCAGCACTTTCCCCCCCGAGACACGCACAAAGCACCGTTTCCACTCGCGATTAAATCACAAGAACGGACCGATTAAAGACACAGCGCGACTGCGCACGCGCTTCCGGGAACGTTCGAAGACCGGAAGACACAACCTCGCTTTTCCTTTCCGCGCCCTCCTTTCAGGAAAAGCTGCGCGCGAGTTGGAGTGCGCGCGCATGCTCGGTGACTGGTGGAGGGCGGTAGTCGTTTAACGGCGGCGGCCGCGGGAGAATTCGAATCGCATTCCGTGAGCGCCAAGTACACGGATTCTATGAGGTGATGAGTTTGAGGGCGGTGGGAGTCGGAGGGTGTTGCTCTCGTTCTGTTCTGTTCGGTTTGTGGGATAAATCTGTGGTGATAGTAGGAAACACGGTACGGATTGGGGTCGGAAGGACGAACGTCCGTCAGATCCCACAGGAATAGCGTTGTCAGTGCCTTGTAGCCAAAGCAACGAGCTGTCTGGTTGGTTCCTTAAAGGGTCGCGCGGTCTGTTGCTTGCAGAAGCCTTTATGAGTCAGAGCCCGTTTCAGCGGATGCAAGAAATGTTATACTCGGTGTCAGGTATATATTAGACACACACAAGGAGAATGTGGAGGTAATGTTGCTGTAATTTTATTTATTCACTTGTTTGCTTATTTATTTTTCATATTTATATCCCGCCCTCCCCAGTGGGCTCAGGGCGGCTCACAAAGGCAAGGTAAAACCGAGCCATAATTAAAACAGATGATACATAATAAAAACATCCAACATTAAAACAGTGGTGCTCAGTCAATTACTAAACGTAAGTCCAAGATGGCTCAGCTCAGTTCTTCTCCAGGATCTTCTAAACATTCCCAAGTTCTTCCTCAGGGCCTCAGACGTCCTTTAGGTGCAATGGCAGTGATGGTATAGTGGGGCGGCGGCTCCTACTCAAAAGCCTGGCGGAAGAGCTCCGTCTTGCAGGCCCTGCGTAACTGCATAAGGTCCCGCAGGGCCCGGATCTCCCCCGGGAGCAACAACCCTGTAAGATAGGTTAGGCGGAGAGTGCGTGAAATGAGGCTGGGATATCAAGCAGCCCAAGACACAGGTATAATTCATCATCGTGGAGTGCACATTAAAAGAAAACACCAAAATCCAGTCATTTAGCTAAAATACATGTTGCTTTTCAGTGTGTGGTGTCCCCAGAGTGGCTTATGAAGCCTCTTATACAAAACAGCCACAATAAAATTACCCCCGTTAAATAATAAGGTTGAAACATGTAAGATTTATTTCTTTATTTTATCAAGTTGATACCCTGCCGCCGCTGCCCCCCCCCCCCCCCCCCCCCGCCGCAGGCTTAGGGGAGGTGCTTTAGGGCTGGTAAAGAACTAGAGACATCAGAAGAATTCTGTTTGCCTCCCCAAAAACTGTTAAGGGGGGAGCCAAACAAGCACCTCAGGGTAGGACACTGCAGTCTTGATGCCACCACTGAACAGTGTGTCACATATTGTCATCTGATGAAAGGGTGTCTCACACACAGCAGTGTTTGCTAGTTAATCACAGGGGCAGTGTAGATTAATGTTGGAGAATGTGATCCCATCTAAATGGCAGTAGACCACTTCAAATGAAATTAATAGTGTACATAACAAGGGATAACAGGTTTCTGTGAGTCTAGTCACTTCTAGTTTTTATTAAGACAAAGAAGGATAGTGAGCGATCTACATAGGCATTCCAGTTCTGTAGCCAGTGTAAAATAGAGGATAAGAGAATGAGTTGGGATCTGGAAAGTTTCTGATTCAAAGCCTCATTCAAAGCTTCATTTGCTACACTGTCACCCTCTCACCCAGTTTAGAGAAATCCTTTTGGAATGCTTTATAATACATTTGATTTTTCACCTGCCTGGCTAACTTGGTGTCATCTCAGACACTGCTCACCTCTGATTCCAGAACGTTAATTAATTAATTAATTAGCACCAGTCCCAGAATTGATCCATGTAGAACTCCGGTCTCCATGGTGAGGAGTGTATGTGTGTGTCAGAGAGTGGTGGCTTGTCATCCATAACTTGTCGTATTTTAGGAGCTTTGTACATAACAAGTAGGAGCTGCGGTGGCTCAAGTGCCTGCTCGCAGGATGGGCGGGGTATAAATATAATAAATGAATGAATAAATAAAGTGGTTAAGACGCTGAACTGCAGGCTGTGGAAGGTCAGTAATTCAGCAGTTCGAGACCAAAGTGTGCCGCATGACGGAGTGAGCTCCCGTCTCTAGTTCCAGCTCCTGCCAACCTAGCAGTTCGAAAGCAAGAAATTGCAAGTAGATAAATAGGTACCACTTCAGTAGGAAGGTAACAGCGTTCCGTGCGCCTTGGTGTTTAGTCATGCCAGCCACATGACCACGGAAACGTCTTCGGACAGCGCTGGCTCTTCGGCTTTGAAACGGAGATGGGCACCACAACCCTAGAGTCGGATTCGACTGGCTTTCGAGCAAGGGAACCTTTACCTTTTTTTTACATAACAAGTAGAAACGAATGATTACAGAGCCAGGGAAGTATGGGTTAGTATGTTTGGGAGAAACTTGGTTTCAAATGCTTACACTGCTGTGAAGTCCACTGGGTGACTTTAGGTCACACTCTTTTTCAGCCCAGCCTCCTTCATGGGGTGGGGGTGAGATCATAATGGAGAAATGCCACCCTCAGCTTCTCGAAGAGGGGGATGAAAGTGTAATTGGTAAATATTATAATGCTTGTTCACATGTTTCGGTGGAAACAGAATTCTGTGTTTTGAGCAAGCTTAAATTGGTCCAGCCTTCAGTGTCAAAAATATGTGGTTGGAAGTTGGAAATGCCCGTGCAAGACATTAAGTGGGGTTACAGTAATCACTAGCCATCCATAAGCTTTAAAAACTCTGTAGTTAATAATGAAGAATGATTGTTTATTTGTGCATTCATAGTTTCTGCTAAGGTCTCAAAGCTGTTCCTATGTACATAATGACCTAAAATGACACACATCAATAAAATATTTATCACCACCAATATAACATTTGATTAAAAAAAGGGATTATCATCAACAACAGCAAAGATTTAGAGGTCAGAGAGGCCTGACCTGGATAGTTCAGGCTAGCCTGATCTCATCAGACATCAGAAGCTAAGCAGAGTCAGCCCTGGTTAGTGTTTGGATGGGAGATCAAGGAAGTCCAGGGTTGTGATGCAGAGGCAGACAATGGCAAACCATCTATGAATGTCTCTTACCTTGAAAACCCCACATGGTCGCCATGAGTTGGCAGCGACTGGATGGCACTTTCCACCTCCACTAGTTAGGAAAAGCCAAGCAAGCCAGCAAAGTGTTCCATTACAGAAATGCTCAAAGGGTGGCAAATGAGGGAGATGTAGTGAATCAAATAGGTAGTGCCCTGAGGCATGTATGTTTAGTGACAATAGTGTGCTAGGGCTGCTCTAAGAGTTTGGGGTGCAAAGCATGGTTTTGTTTATTTTATTGTTTGTTTATTTCAGACATGTAGGAAAACAGTGTTGCAGTTCTAAGCACAGTAGCTAGGCTGCAAGTTCCCTTGTCAGGCCACAGCAGGTGCTCCTGTACACCCCACTGTGATCTCTTACATGGATAACCATCAGTGTGGATTGACTAAATACTGTAATTGCTTAGGTCTTGAAGCAGTTTTACTTATTTAGAATACTATTTATCCCTATTTTCTCCAATACTGATTATTCAAAATGTAATAGTCATAAAAAATGTACTTACAAAAGCATGTACACCCTCAAGAGGCTTCACATGCATAATGAGCCCCAAGGATGTCCCACTTCGGTGGTGTCTGCTGCCACGGTGTGAAAAGGGCCACAGGCTGAAAGCCATAGATCCCCTTGGCTCTTGTTCTTCCATTGTACTTCCAGCTACAACTTGGTTTTAAATTACCTGCAGAAAGGGATGAACGGGACTTCCGGTCTACGGAACAGCGATGGGGGACGCTCTCCCCACGACAGGGAAGGGCGAATCGCACACCAGCGGCCTGGAGGGGTGCCACCTCAAGTGACACCCCCGTGGAGCCTTTGCGTTAGGCTCCAGGCTAGGGGGCTTTTGAGGGTCAGCCTCTTCGACAGCGTAATGCTGGAGAATTGAGGCTCCCCTCCACCCCAACGGTCCAGTCGCTGAGTGGCCTTCGGGCACAAGCTGGACTGACCGGGACAAGTGCCGGAGATCGAGCGAAATGGCGTAAAAACCGAGCGCAGTCAGAGAAAATGACCAACAATGAACGTGAGTTCTGAATAAAACGGAGTAGTTTTAAAAGCGATTCCCCCCCCCCTGATGAAAAAAGAGATTGCAAAGAGGGACGCCTTTAGCTGTTAACGGACACGAAGGGGGAGAGGGGAGGAAGAAAACCGAAAGTGTTTTGAGAGACTTATCTGAATTGTGAAGTCGTTTGGCGAGTTTTCCGAGTTGCGTGGAAGTGGTAGAAACTGTAAACAAAACGGGAAAGATGGCGGCCCAGCAGAGAAAGTTTAAAATGAAGCCGGGCAGTCAGAGTCCAAGACTGGAAGAGGGAACAGATGTCATCAAACTCCTGGCGGATATGCTCAAGCCGGTGATGAAACAACTCGATGGTATTAACCAGCAATTGACTGTGATTAATAAAAACTTTGCAGCACAGCAGCTTCAGCTGAACGAAACAGAGAAAAAAGTGGAGCAGGCAAATGAGAAAATTAAAGAGATAGACACCACAAGCAAGAAGTTGAAGAAAAGGATGGGAGAAGTGGAAACGAAGCAGAATTTCCAAGAGAATCAAGTTTTTCAGCTACAGATTGAAAAAGCTAACATGATTCTCAGGTTTCAGGGAGTTCCTGAAACGGATCGGGAAGACCTGAAGAGGGTGCTCAGTGAGATCATCGCTCCAGTTGTAGGCTTAACAGCGGATGAACTTGTAAACGAAATGGAGTCAGCCTATAGGGCATACTCCAATTATATTAAAAAAAATAGCCTACCTGGAGAAATAGTGGTCAGGTTTTCAAGAAGACAATCTAGAGATGCCATTTTAAAAGCAACATCAGCAACTCCACTAAATATGGGAAATGTAATGTAATCATCAAAATGTTAAAGGACATTCCATTTGAAAATAGACAAAAGAGGAAAAATTACAAAGACTTAATTTCTTTCCTTCAAACTAATGGGACATCGTACAGATGGGCAGTTCCAGAGGGTGTTATCTTTAAGATCAATGATTAAAGAGAGAAGAATTTTTGAGACGTCAACTGGGGACAGAAGAAGAGTCAAAAGAGGAAGAAATGAAGTCTAGTGACTCTGCTACCTCTGGAACAGAAGAGGACTCTGCGGCAGAAAAGAGTGCAGGACCCGCCAGAGTGGTATACGATTTTAGAGACAGAAAACCGAAGTAAAGGCAGAAGGACTTGGAAAATGGCCTTTTGAAGCGAAGAACAAGAAGATCAGAGATTTCTCTCATAACTAATAAAATAACATATAAAAAGTGAACTGTTATAAACAAGAACTCTACAAGAATATTGTGATATTAACACTTATAGTACTAACAATTTTACTAACAGTGAGATGATCTCCTCCTCTTGGGGTTTTAGTTTAGTGTGGTTTGCTTTCCTTTATCCGTAGTTATAGTCCCTTCCCTAATATTTCTTTGTAGTTTTTGTAGTATTTGCAAAATAAAAAAATATCCCTCCGGGGATTTAAAAGAAAGAAAGAAAGAGATGAAGAACAGCTCGGCCCCGGTCTTCTTCAGGCGGCTTTAATGCTCCTAGTTTCCTCCCTCCCTAAATTACATGAACCAGCTTCAGTTTTGAGCTCTTCGTGATTTAATAACCAGAAAAGTGAATTTAACAATATTTAGGTCACAGTGTGGTTCTCAAATACACTTTATTTCACAGCGATACAAGGGGTGAGCCCTGCAGCAGAACTCCACATCTCCATAGTGAAACTCTTATTTTTTGAAATGCTAATGTAGTAACCTTGATCTGCATCAGTCTGACTTGTTGTTCGATCATTAAATTGGATTTTCTACTCCAGTGTTTTCTTTTCACCTTAGGCTTTTGTGAATTGTAAAACGCTACAACATGGCAAGACGAGAGGCGTTTCTACAGGCTGTATTTAATGGTGCCATTGATGAATTCTTGCATTTTATCCAACTTCATGTAAGTAAATATATTTATGCTCACAGTGGGAGGTGGGAAGAAAACTCATTCTGGTGGGTTTTTTTTGGGGGGGGGTTTGTTTTTGTTTTTTGAGAGCCAGCTTCCAGTTAAGACGGCAGGATAATGCTGGGTAGTCCAATCCCCAGCTTGCCTTCTGGATAAACTGCACTCAGCCCATCTTTTGGGAAAAGTGTAGAAGGGTGTGTGTGCAAGACAGAAGACAATGCAGCCTAATGCCTGCTGTTCTTTGTCACTACTCTGAAGCTGTGTGGCCTTTGGCCACTTCAGTTGCAGGATCTCTTTGTAGCCCATAATTCTTAAGTTGCCTCCCTCAAGTACTGGACAGTGGGGATATGATCTCTCCCACACGTGCTTATCTCTTCTAAGAGCAAATTCCTGCCTTTATTCAAAGTATCAGCAATAACATGTGTATAAGGAGCACTCCCCCCATTAATTATGAGGCAAAAACTCAAGGCCATGATATAGCAAGAATTCATTCCTCATTTGGTCAACTGGCAGCCACCCTTGGTGCAGAGCAAAAGATTTGCCAGAGCCATATAATCAAGATGGGTGTTCACTGTGGGACTGTACCTTTTATAATCCTTTGTCTGTTTGTGCTGCATCATTTCATACCCTACTGTTGACCGAACAGTGGGATATCAGGCTGTTTTCCCATGCTGATGAGGCAATGTGTAACAGGATGGCCCCTAGAAAGCCCAAAGTTTCAAAATTGTTCATATGTATTTTTAAAAAGCAGCATAAGATCTGTCTACACATTTAGAACAAAGTTTGAAAACAGCTATTTTTTCTGTAAATCTGTGAAGCTGCCTGACACCAAGTCATACTACAGGGCCCATCTAGCTTACTGTTATTTGCTCTGACTGGCCATGGCTCTTGGACAGGGAGAGGTCTTTCCTGACAGCTATCTGGGATCCTTGAACTGGACATGCCAGGCATTGAGCCAGGGGCTTTCTGCATATGAAGTTATGTGCTCCGCCACTGTGCTTAAGAGCCAACAATGCTGGATTAGAGTAATGGTCTATCTAGTCCAGAATCCTGTTTCATGCAACAGCAGCCACCTTGATGTCCCAGAATACCTACAAAGGGGGCACAGACACCACAGAGGCCCCTGCTGTGTTGTCCTTCAGCACTGGTGGGGGGGGGGTCATTGCAGCTAATAACACCAGTAGATGAATCTAATCCCCTTTTAAAGCCGACTAAACTAGTGGCCATCCTAATGGCATTGACTTCCACAAGCCATTAATTCTTTGGGTAGATAAGTACTTCCTTTTGTCTGTCCTGAATTTGCCTCCCATCAGCTTCATTATGTGCCTGTGGATTCTAGCATTATGGGATAGCTGGAAGACATTCTCTCACTGAGCCATGGCCCTTTCTCTTTTTCTTCCATCTTATTATTGTATTTCCCCCCAAAACAGTTTTATTTTAAAGACAAAACAAACGTAACATAAAATGAGGACATCCACATATTCTTAAGATTTCTTATTTTAAAAAACTCATATCTAAACGTATGTTATTTTGTATGATTTACCTTGTACATTATTAAAAGTATAGTATTTGTGTCCTTAAAGTACATTGTAAGTCTGTATATTTTATTTATTGGATTCTTCAAACCATTTATAAAATCTTGACCATGTTTCCTCAAAAGTTTTCTCTGGTTGTCCTTTCAAAATTAAAGTTAATTTGTCCATCTCAACAGTTTCCAAAAATTTTCTTAGAATTTCTTCCCTTGAGGGTACGTCTTTTCTTCTCCAATATTATTATTGTATGTTGACCACCGCCACCATTTTTTAGCACTTTGACATCTATGTTACTGACACTTATGATTTTATATGATGTGGTTTTACTTATTTAAATGCTGTGTATATATATACACACACATATATAACCTGTAAGACACCCCTGAGCCTGCCCAGGCAGGGAGGACGGGATACAAATAAAATAAATAAATAATTGATTCATCTTTCAAGGGGTTAAGCTGGCAATTGAATTGGATAGAAATGCTTCCTCTCTGAAAACACACCTGACAGATGTTCATTCTTGCTTATCACTTCTCAAATGGTACTGAACTGTGTGTGTGCGCGTGCGTGCGTGCATGCACGCACCTTGGTCCTGTTGCCTGGGGTTTGAGTCAAGTTTAAACCGCAAAAAAAGTTCAGGCTAGACCTGAAGAGATTCTTCAGTTTTGCTACAAAACAAGCTGCCAAGGGAGGCTGCAGAATCTTCTTCCTTGTATGTTTTAAAAAGATCTGTCAGTAATAATACAGCATCTGTTGAGGATGATTTTTAGTATAAGTGGAAGGATCTGGAGTGGATGCTTCTGTGGGTAATTCTGTTAGTCAAGGAAGGCAGCTTTGTAGCTTCATTTCATTTGATTAGCTTTTGTATTCTGCTGTTAAATCCAATATTTGGTAGAGTGGTGAGCAAACTGCTTTCCCTGCTCTTATTAGATGGATTTATTTGTTTATTGAATCTCTTAATTTGGCAACTGGAGGCCAATGAAAGGAAGAACTTGTCTTTCTGCAGAATGGCATTGAACAGGAAGCATGCTGTTCAGTGACAAACTTGTTTCTCGTTTCACAGAAGGATGCAGCTGATTCATTCGATCTGAATGAGCTGTTTCAAGAACTATCAAGGAAACAGAAGGAAGCCTTATGGGAGAAGTTAAAATGCTTGTTAACGCAGGTTTTGGTAGATGATCCAGTAGAGGAATGGCAGAGAGTTGGAGAGGAATGTGATGACGACATGGAAATGGGGGGAGCTCCCAGAAAGGTGATTCTTTATTTCAACTATCAGTTGCATTTTATTTATTTATTTTAAAATGTATATCCTGCCTCTCCATACACTCAACATGGCTTACAATATACTGAAGTTAAAATACAGTATCAACAAGGTGGAGAGGAATCAAAAAGTACTGCAGTACATTGGTGGTGGTGGTGGAAAGTGTTGTGAAGACACAGCTGATCTATGGCAACCCCCCTGAATTTTCAAGGCAAGAGATACTTAGAGGTAGTGTGCCATTGTCTGCCTCTGCATCCTGACCCTGGTATTCCTTGGAGTTCTCCCATCCGAATATTGGCCAGGGCCAACCAGTACCCTATCCTCAACAAACCAGCAGAGAAGAAGAAAAGGAAGAAGAAGAAGATGGCAGTACATTGTGATTTGGAGTAAGCCACCATTAGCCACCAAAGGCCCCCTTGCAAAGAGTTCTTTATCTCTTGCAAAAGCTTAAAAGGAAGGTGCCCTGAAGATCTCTTCTGAAAGGAGATCTGACTGCGATCTCGCAAAAGAGGCTTCTACCTGGTGAATGGAATGAAGAATTGGTCTTTCACTCATGAGAATCCTGGGTCATGAAGGGCTTTAAAAGGTACGAATCAGCACCCTAAATTGAGCAAAGAGTGCCGCCATTTCTAAGGTGGCATTGTGTGCTTAGAGGCATATGATTGTCAATAAACAAGCAGCTTCATTTTGCGCTAATTGAAGTTTTTGGAATAACTTTGAGGGCAGCCCCACGTAGGGTATGGTACAGTAATCCAACCTTGAGGTAACACTAACAGAAGAGTCAAAAAGGTTACAGCAGAGTAAAGAAGGGAGAATAATTTGTGAACTAAATTAAGATAATAGAAGGTACACTGCAATTATCAGTACAATCTTATTGCTCTCTCTATATATAATATTCTTATTCTATCGCTCATTATATTCTGAAATAGATTAAGATGGGTAGCCGTGTTTGTCTGTAGCGGTAGACGAGTATGAGCCCAGTAGCACCTTAAAGACTAAAAAAAAATTTCGGCAGGGGATGAGCTTTCATGAGTCACTGCTCACTTCTTCAGATACAGCTAGAATGTGAGTCCATCTGTACTATGTATTGGAAAGTGGAGTGATTTCAGATTTCAAATGACATAAGCAGGCAAATAGCAATGGAAAGTGTGATTTGATTAGGTGTGATATGCGTGGAGTAGGCATGGATAACTCAGCATTGGTAACAAGACAGGAAACCTAGGTCATGATTCAGTCCAGGTGGATGCATTGTCTTGAGATTAGAAAGAGAGACTGCTGAATTGCAACTGATAACAAAGTTCAAGACAATGCATCCACCTGGACTGAACTGAGACCTAGGTTTCCTTCTATATTCTGAAATGTTTTTGCTTTTTTATGGCTTTAAAGGTTAATTAGTTGTTTGAAAATCCAATATATTCAATTTGATGTAAACATTTTTGTGGCTCTTACCTTGTGCTCCAGTAGTGGGAAATCTTGCATAAATGTTCCATTTCTCTATGTCCTGCACTGCTATTTTAACTTGTCTTGTGTTGGCCTTCCAGTCAGCCATCCATACACAGACCATTAATTGCTTTGCCACATCACATACTCTCAAACTGGTCTCTGGTTCTTAAGGAGTCCCACTGTAAAGTTGTAGAATCTATCCTGTTTTCCATATGGGGGTGGTGTGTGTGTGGATTTCTTCCTTTTTTGCCACCAATGTAAATCTGGTGAAAAGGACCTGTATGGGTTTGATTACAGTGAAAAGAGTTTAAGTTAAATATTTTGGATCCCTCATTAAATACTTGTGAATTTCGGGGGTGGTGGTGGTACGTATCTCTTGAGGCATGGTGACAATTCACAGCTTGCATTAGACACTTTGCTATCATGAGGACTGAGCCAGTGTGGTTTAGTGGTTCAACTTGGGAAAGTTTGGTTCAAATGTCTTGACAAGTAAGTCACAGAATGACCTTGGAGCAAGTCCCTCTCTTTCAGCTACACCTATGTCACAGGGAGATTATGAGGGGAGCATAGGCCACATAGTAGAGATAAGCCACAGGGGGGCCAAACGTCAGTTGGCACTGCTGGCAAAACAGAGCAGATGAGCAGGAAAGCCTCCATTACTGCTCTGAGGCAGGGCAGAGTTCCACACATCCCTTCACTGCTTGCCTGTGATGAATGGCCTTCTGGCAGCTTCTCCTTCCCTTGAGTTCTAGCATGAATTGCAGAGGACTGTGTGAGAGGTGGAAGATCCTTCTTCACTGTGTGCTGGCCTCACATAAGGCAGAACCAGATTATTTCTTACTGAATGTTTTTGTTTCCTCGAACTTCTTCGGTAGGGATTCCGTTGTAGCAGCTTCTACTTCACAGCCTTGTCAAATATCAAGTGTACCTTTTTCCTTTGTAAAATGTTAACTGTCTCTTGAATTTTCAGGAGCAAACCACAGCTGTAATCCAAGGTGTGACAACAGTGGTTACTATCTCCATACCTACAGTAGATGGAAATATAAACTGCAGAGATCTCCTAGAATGTGCCCTGATATTGAATGGTATGTTTCACATATGCAGCATGCTAAAACAAGACTTAAATATGATGTATCATTATATTGATAATATTCTGAACATTTTCCATATGAGCCTGTAAAAATTAAAATAGCAAAAAGGTCACATGTCAGCAGTCTTAATTTTGGTCTCCTGGCTTTTAACTTTCTGCAAACAATGAGGTGGTTATTTATATAGTGTTTAACCTACTATTTCATGAGATTTTATTCTTCTGCAGTGTTTTTTTGAAAATCAGATTCTGTTTCTCATAATTGCTTATCTAACAGCAGATTTCTCAAATCAGTCAATAATTAAAAATGGTGGTCCTCTACCTTTTCAGATCTGAGATCCACCTTTAACCAACAGGGTGGGACCAGTTAAGCTATAAGCAGTTGACATCACATGACAGGAAGAGGGGGAGCCATAGCTTAAGTCTCATGGTGTCAAGGCCAGGACAGTGGTCAGCTTAGGAATGCCAGGGACAGGCAATTCAAGCCAGTACTAGGAGGTATACTATAACAAGCCAGTATGGTGTAGTGGTTAGTGTCAGGTTATGAGACTTGGATTCAAATCTCCTCTGCTGTGAAAGCTCACTGGGTGGCTTTGGTCAAGTCACTTTGTATGACCTATGTCACAGGGCTGTTGTGAGGATAAGGAAAACTACGCCACCTAAGATTATTGGAGGGAGGATGGGATAAAAATGTACCAAATAAATAAATAAAGACCTGTGGTACTCTTTGTTTTCTGCGTGTGCAAGATAGCATCAAAAAGGGGGTAACAATGCACGGTTTTTGCTCTTCAAAACGAGACATGCAGAGGTGGTTTGCCATTGCCTTCCTCTGCGTTGCAACCCTGGTATTCCTTGGCGGTTTTCCTTCCAGATCATTATGTTTCACCTCTCCTCTTTGATTTTCTTGTATTGCTGACTTAACCCCTACAGCTTTGAATAAAAATATTAAGACACATTTATAACAAAAACAGCTTTGAAAGGGTTTGGGAGACACATTAAACTTGAGAACTACTTCATTGTCAAAGAAATGTATTTACACTTGCAGTTTTGTTCAATTTGTTGCAGGGGCTCTTTATGCATTTCTGGACTCTGAGAAATCTCTGGCTGGGGCTGTCCAGCACCTTTGTGAATGCTGGTGGCAGAAGGGCCTTGAAGGGAAGGAACAGTTTGGGAAAACCGCTTTCACCCTGATTCTGAGAAACAGCTTTGAGAGGAAAAGCATTGCGGTATGTTACCTCTTTATCAATGTCCATATAAACTATTCATAATCTAATTGACACTTTGTGAGCTGGGCATTGTTGTCATAACCGTCAGCTGGCTTGAAGCACTTTTGATTTTTCTTAGGATGGAGGCATTGGAGTAAAATCCGGTGACCTAAAATTCTGTCTGCAAATTGTTGAGTTGGATGACATATGTCGATTACTGTTCCACACTATACTGCCCAGCTTGCAGACCCAGCTGTTGAGGACCTCAACAAGAGGTTCTCCAGTGTTTTCCATCTTGCTCTTGGATCAGCCAATAAGGCGCAGAAATTATATACAAGGGAAAATTCTGTATGCATTCCACTGGAGGACTTCATTCATCTGCTAGCCAGACACACATTTATATCTCCTTCTGCTATGTTGGTTATACTGTTACTATGCCTGTACACATGACTGCTCATCACGACTCCAGAATAATAGTACATATCCAGAGTATGATCAGTACTCCAGAATAATAGTATATATCCAGGGTATGATATATTTACATATATATGGGTTTATATACTTTAGGAACAGAGTATAAATTCATTACTGTGTTGACTGACAGGACCATCCACTCCGGCTTCCATGTCCGTCATCTCTTAATCCCCCTTTCCCCATTTGTAATCCTCGTGGAAGTGTAATTGAGTGCTTTTTTCTCAGAGTGCAGAGATAACCAAACTATGGCAAATTCACCAGGCTTTACTGTGCTTTGATTATGACTCTGAAGAGAGTAATGAAGTGAAGGATTTGTTACTTCAATGCTTTATGAGCATCAGCCATATTAAAAAAGAAGAGGTAAGCATACTTTTTTTCCTAAAACTGCTTTTCATGGTTAACCAAAGAAATGGAGAGTAGACGTACGGCTGAGATTTCTGTCATGTGATGTTCAGAACCGAAGGAAAGCAAAAAATTACTGTTTTGATTCCTGGAGTTCTGCCCTTCTTAATCCTCACACAGTTTGGCCTTTTCTGGGACCCTTTTTCCTGAACTGTTATTTTTGGACTTTCAGCCATCTAACTCCCATCCTGTTCTGCTTTCAACATAATTGAGCCAAGCATCTGCACACCTTCATCATCTCTGAAAAAGGAAGATGATCAGGGAGCTCAGACATGATGTCCCACTCTATGGTAGTTCTTTCCCAGTAATGTGTTCTGTGGGAACAAGGCACAGGATTTGCTCTGGGCCCTCAGCATCTCTCCCCTCCCCTGTTAGCTGTTCACCTCAGATGCTTATCAAGTACACCGTGGAAAACTGAATTTTCAGCATGACATCAGTAATTGTTGTGACTGGGACTTCCTTCCTTCCTTCCTTCCTTCCTTCCTTCCTTTCTTCCTTCCTTCCTTCCTTCCTTCCTTCCTTCCTTCCTTCCTTCCTTCCTTCCTTCCCAGTTGCCTTTTCAGAGGTGGTTTTGGCACAAATGGAATGTAGGGAACCAGTGTTTTTCAGCAGATCTAGGAATGGAGCCTGTCTTCTGAGCCTAAAATGAGTATGGGGTACCAATAAGTGACCTAAGGTGACATCTGTGTGCTGGAGTACATATAACTATAGCTCATGAAATATTGTGTTGAAATTATACTCGTGTTAATTATTAATTTCATTGTGAGTATTCATCACACATATGGAGATGGGGACAGCTCTGGTCTCAACATTCATTCCATACCTATGGTTGATGAACATGACATGGGGGAGAGGTTGAGGAAAGCCATTTGTTGGTACAAGTATTGTTTTTATTGAGTCACCTTGACAAGCGATAACATCTCAGTACTCTCAGAAACACTAACTTGGAAGCAAGCTCCACTGTACTTAAATAGGAGTTTGTTAAAGCAAGCATGCATAGGACTGGGCTGCTAATCCCGCTGGTCAAGGATGACAGTAGCAATGAGTCATTATCTGCACAGCTAGTAGCGTGTTTTAGTGTGTTCCAGCCTTGGTATCTGCACCTAATGAATGGAAAATGTGAAGCTTTTTACCTGCTATGTCATAAACTGAGTTTAAGGACTGTGGGCAAAGGCACCTGGGCAAAACAGCCAAATCTTGCCTACAACTCTGGAGCCCAGTCTGGATTTCTAAATGCTCCTTCTGCACATAACTGTAAGAATATTTCTAATAAAGTAAGAACACTTAAAAGATTGTTTTCACAGCTTGACACTTCTGTCAAGTGTTTTCAAGTGAAAATGATTCATGTAGTAATACAGGTGTTCTAGCGAAATTTAAACTGGAAAAGATTCCAGTGTGGAGAAGTGGGGGCAAAAAATAAAGTGCAGTTTGAATAGTATTTTTAAATAAGTTCAAAGCTTTACGTGGAAATTATTTTTCAGTTTTTAAAAATATTATTATTGCATGCGTTACATAATAGTTTAATAAAAACAATTGTTTACAACAATTTATAAAAAGCAGAAGGGTACATTTTATCTCTTTATTTCATTGCATAATAAAAATTGCCCAGCATTCACTGCCAATTATTTCTTTGCCTACCTGTGGTGGGGGAAAGTGACATCAAGTCACAGCTGACATGGCGACCCCTGGTAGGGTTTTCAAGACAAGAAATGTTCAAGGTAGTTTGCCATTGCCTGTCTCCACGCCATGACCCTGGTATTCCTTGGACTGACATCCAAATACTAATCAGGGCTGACCCTGCTTAGCTTCCAAGATCTGTTGCGATCAGGCTAGCCCGGGTTATCCAGCTCAGGGTTGTCTACCTACGGTGGAATGTAAATTTACTTAATAAAGCTACATTCCATATACAATACAGTTAAATCACTATAAGAAAGTTTGGTTTCCTAGGAAAGTAAGTATTGCATGTATGTAACTTTTTCTAGTAAAAAACCTCCCTTTTTCTGTGGCTTCAAAATTTTTAGAAGTTTTGTGTCTCTATAGTACTTCCAAACTTAAGCAGAGAATATGGCTTCTAATGAAGGAATGTTGTCTTTTACAGGGGAGAAGATTCCTGAGTTTTCTCTTCACATGGAATGTAAATTTCATTAAAATGATACATGGAACTGTTAAAAATCAATTGCAGGGGTTTCCTCGGTATGTTTTATTTATGTAAGATACATGTGCTGCTCTTGTTACTGTTCTTGGGTGCCATTTTGTTTGTTGCTTGTGTTCATGCTTTCCTGTGCAGTGTATATAATCCTACTCATATCTGCAACACCTAGAGTGTTTGGCTTTAAGGCGGATACAGTTCTAGGCTGAATGCATGCTTTTATATCTGTTCCATAAAAATATCTACTCCATCCATTAGGGGATGTTCTCCAATTGTTTTTCTTTATTAAAACACTTTTATCCTGCCTTTCTCGCCATAGGCAGTGACCCAAGGTGGTTTATGAAGTCACCTAAAGTTAGGAACTAGGTATTAAAATCAAATTAAAAACACCAACAGCCCTCTGTTTCCATTAATAAAATCCTCCACCCAATCTAATGCCCATCAAAGGTCAGCCCGAAAGGAACAGCTTTTTACTGCCTGCAAACTTGGGATAAAGTAGGGGCCCTCCATTCCAGAGCTTCTGATGTAACGGAGTGAGCTGGGTGGCAACCAAATGAATGGATTTAAAAGAGGGGCTCCAGTAACAGGAGGAGAGACTTGGGTGCTGTACAAGTTTATGTTGACAGAGGTGATTTTTCAGGTAGGCAGGTCCTACATCATATAAAACTTTAAAAGTCAATACCAGCACTTTAAATCAGACTCAGAAGTAAATCAATAGCCAGTGAAGCTGTTTCAAGATGGTAATATGCTCCCTCCTTTGGGCTGTCACTAACAGACAAGCAGCCATAATCTGTACTAGCTGAATCCCCAGCATGAGAAAGAGCAGTGTCTTCTCAGCCTTGCAATCATGCTTTTCAGTGCAAGAGTGTGGGCTCTGCTTTACGAGACAGCAGAATGACAGATGAGATTTTGTATAAACAAATATGAAGTGTTGCCTGGGGAGAAAAATCTGACTTTCACATGCATGCTGGGTAGCGCCTTTCTTGGCTGTGACTACCCAGGGAAGATCTCTTGGGATGCGAGAGAATGTGCGCTGAACATCTGCTCACTGGATACAAGTTCACAGCAGATAACAAATGAGATTTACTTCTGCAAGATGTGATGGTGGCCACTCATTTATTTGGCTTTAAAAAACAGACATACCCTTAGTCTATGCCATAAGTTTATCAGTGCCTATTAGCCATGGTAACTAAACAGACTCTTGGCATACATCTGAATAACAAACTGTATTGATGACTGCATGTTCAAGGTCCCATGACTCAGTGGTAAGCATTTGGCTTGTGTTCAGAAGATCCCAGGTTCAATCCCCGCCATCTTCAGTTAAAAGGATCAGGGAATAGTTGATCTGGAAAAACTCAACCTGAGACCCCGGGGAGCTGCTGCCCGTCATGGTAGACTGGACTGATCTTTGTAGACCAAGGATCTGGCTCAGTAGAATACAGGTTCATGGCTTCTTTTGAACTGCAAGCTGCCAAAATTGATTTGCGTGTGTGTGTGTGTTTTATTCTGAGGGAAAGACTGCACAATGCCTGGAAGCCTTTTAAAACTAAAGAAATGTGTATAAGTTTATCGTTCTGTGTCTGTTTTTTTCCAAATGTAATTGCCTCTTAATCTGCTAACACAGGTCCCTGATGACAAACATTGCAGAAATTTATTTCAGAGCCTGGAAAAAAGCTTCAGGGGAGATATTAGAGGTATATTGTTTTGAACTTGCTATACTTTCTTTATTTCAAGATGGGGGTTTTGCTATACTTTCTTTATTTCAAGATGGGGGGGGGTTTTTGGCTGTTAAGATGTTTTTACTCTCAATTATGCATAGGAGAGGCAATCCAGCTGTGTCCATGCTACAGTTAGGTAACTGGATACTACTTCAGTGATGCCAAAAGCACCTTTACTAGATCCTTAAACACAAAGAGCAGTTTTGCATCTTGGCTCTGAGACATGCATATAAAGCTAGCCTTTTTGTGGAGAAACAGCATTCATGGGAGACTGTCAATCATTGCCTTCACCAGGCTATTGACAGCCAGGAACAATTATTGAAACCGTATTTGCATCCACCCTCAGTATAAAGTGCAAATTGAAGTTACATCAAGCTGCTTCCACAAGTAGCAGAGTGGAGGGGGTAATGGGCTGCAGTGTTTGTCTTTAGATCTTTAGGGGGTTTGTCATCATCGCTCCTCATTACTGCTCCTGTCACTCCTTTCCAATTTATCCTAATTTCCTGGGAAGTCATTCACTGTTTGGCTAATGCAGGACCTGCTTGTATCTCTTTAATGGCACAGATGTGCAGAAACGTGTCTCAGCTACTGCGAGGAGGTGAAGAGCCTGTTCCTGTGTCATCTGATCTCAAGGAGCCTTAGCATCACAGCCTAGGATTGAATTCTTATTCATTTAGATTTGCTATTGTGCCCTTTTCTGTGAGCTCAGGAAAGTGGGGGAGGGAGCACTACATTTTAAATCCTCACTTTCTGAAATACAAAAATAAAGAGGAGCCGTTTATTACCATCTTCCCAATATCATCACTGAACTGTCTCATATTTCTTTTAATTACCCTGTTTTTCATTTCCTGAAGGCACAATATGGGCTAACTCTATAAACAGAGAAATGTAATAGGCGATACTTAAGGAAAGATGGTATTAGACAAAAACCAAATGATTGAAAATAAAAGTGGAATCTCTTTTTGAATGCATGTTGCTTAGCTTAGATTGTAGTTCTGTTGGTTCACAGTTGAGCTATAATTTGTGAGGCTTGTCATTATGTTCAAGAGATCATAGCTGGTTAATAATATGGGTTTTAAATTTGCATAATTATGTATATTAATAAAACAGTAATTCTGAGGGGGGGAAGTGTTGGTAGTTGCTTCTGCACATGCATGCATCATACACAGTCGTGTGCAACAGCTGTACATAGCAGCCATATGTGATAGGAAAACAAAAACCTTTGTGTATCTATTTTTGTTTCAGGTGATTGAGCATAATTGTATTCAGGATTTCATGCATCACGCAATTCATCTTCCCAGAAATTCCCCACTGCATCCTAAAACAAGAGAGGTGTGTTGACCATCTAAAGCAGAGGTTTTCAACTTTCCTATCTTTAGGGGAACATTGTTGATTATAAGCAAACTGTCTTTTAGAGAACCAGAACAATTTGAACACTGGACCAAGCTGAAGCCCAGTGATAGACAGTACAGTAATAACGAATTGAGAGTGTCCATTTTTTGGTACTGTTTAAATATCCCTAGCATGTCACAAGCATGTGACTGCTTTAGTATTAATACTTACTGTGATACCTGTTCCACTGCTGCAGCCACTGTGGTGTACTGAATGGAATGTCAAGCTTGAGGCCAAATTTCTGCTCAGTAATGAAGTTCACTGGGTGCCCTTTGGCTAGGGTGAGAGACAGTGACTATCCCATCTCACAGTGTTGTTGAGAGGATCAAATGGGACAATCTCAGGCAGAATCATAGAGTTGGAAGGGACCTCCAGGGTCATCTAGTCCAACCCCCTGCACAATGCAGGAAATTCACAAATGCCTCCCCCTCCACACCCTGAGACCCTTGAGTAATGGTAACTAGAAACTTGTAAATTTGAATGAATAGAAAAGTGGGCACTTCCAAATCTAAATCTCAGCCATTGTGAAAAGACAAAGTAATGAAGACTTGAATGCCATGGTTGGGAGGTCTAAAGGCCTACTTCTGGCACATCAGATGGCATGCCCAGTGGGATTTTTTTTACAGTTTTCCCCTTTGAAGCAAAAATACTTTGGTTTCAAAAATGGTTTATCATTGACTGTTATTAAAGGTATATAAACCTCAAATCCTAGTTATATAAAACTTAGTTGTGTGGGTGTTTGGCTCTCAGATAGTCGATGAAGATGTGATGATGTGTGATTGAAGTAAGTGTTTGAAGTGAATAATGAACTAAATACATGTTCTTCGTGGTCTCTGTGCAGTCCCACATATGGTTTCTATGCCAATGCAGAAGTAGCTCTAATCTGTTCTAAAACTCTAACCAGAAAGCAAGGCCAGCCTGAGGTTTTTCGGCACCCTAGGCAAAACTGGTGCCCCCCCCTCCCCTTGTGTCTCCCCCCACCGCTGCCGCGTGCCTCTCCGGTGCTCAAGCCAGGTGCTAAGCTGGGCGCATCGGGTGGGGGGGAGAGGGGGCTACAAAGCTCTTTGGAGGGCAGCCCTTCTGCTTTTTCTTCCCCCCTGCCCACTTCCCCCCGTCTCTCCTTCCCCCCGGGGGACCGGGACCCACCCCCCCAGCTGCGTGCGCCCTGTCCCCTCATGGTGGCGGTGGTCCACCAGTCAGGGACTAGATGCATGCAGGGCTTTTGGCGGGGGGGGGAGGTGCAGTTTGGTGCCCCTAAGGGCCGGCCCGCTCTAGGCGAACACCTAGTTCGCCTAGTGAGCAAGCCGGCCCTGCCAGAAAGGCACAGGTAGAGGCCGTTGCCCCCATAGCTTTGCAGGTTTCCTGAAGGGATACACCTTTGTTAGGCAGATGCAGCCAACTCCGCTTGTTAAGGGTGCTTGTGGTAGGTTCTCCTTCAACAGCACAAGGAGATAATGGATGGCACACACTTAGGTCAACATTGGGATGAAACCTTACTGGTCTTATTTGGGACACTGAAGAAGTTGTTGTCTTTCTGAAAGTGTTTGATTTGAGGGATATATAAAGAGAGTGTTCACTTCTTATCCAGGGTATACAATAAAGTGCTCATGCTTTAGCTCAAGAAAGAGGACAGGTAGGGTAACTTCTTGGAAACAGGCAGTGGGAGGAGAGGCCATACATCAGATTTAGAATTTATAACCATCATCCTACTCAGCTGAGTATCGGAGAGAGTAAAATTACAATAAGGAACGGACAATCACTGATGATAATAGAGACTGTGAGCCCAAGTAGACACTGGGTTGGATACTGTCAGCTTTTTCACTTATTCACACCTGATTGTCCTTCTTGCTACAGTCCCTGTTGTCCATGAAGATTCCATGTTCTTGATCAAATCCTTTGGCCTCCATCAGAAAAATTGGTTAGACCAATCCTGTGAAAACTGTATCATTGGTTGTGAGGGGTAACAAATAAAACAGACTGCCAGGCCATGGTTGTTGGTGGGAATGCCTGGTCACCATAGTGTCCAGAAGGTCTGGATGAACTGAGTGTATAGGTTGGAGATAAGATGTTCTCTTGGTAGCTACAGAGGCCTAGGGAATAGAATGAGGCTAAGGTAATATATATTTTGAACGGGAATTGGTGTTTAGAGAGTGCAATGATCAGCAAGTCTTCTGTGTATGGAAATATTGCTGACACTATACATTTTGTAGAAACATAGAGCAGTTGCCAATTGCAAAGGAATAATGCAGTTCTGGAGGTAGTGTGATCCTATACTGAAGCAAAGGTATCTTCTGTGTTTTGACCTTGCAGTAGTATGAAAATATGTTTACTGCAGATCTGTAGACTGAAATCAAGTGCCTGTATTGATCAGGATGGGTGGCCGTGTTAGTCTGTCTGTAGCAGCAAGAAAAGATAAGAATCTAGTAGCATCTTAAAGACTAACAAAATCTGTGGCAGGGTATGAACTTTTGTGAGTAGGGATGGGTATGAACCGACTGACAAACTGAAGTTCATCACAAATCTTGGCTGGTTCATGGTTCATGAAATGATGTTCACAAACTTAAAAACTGCCATGAACTTACAAGAATTTTGGTGCAGTTTGTAGTGGTTTGTGAAGAGCAGAAAGCAGGGGCCATTTAAACCAAATAACTGAGTGGCTGTCCCGCTGCTCAGCTGTCTGGAAACTCCAGCTTTCTGTTCCCCATGAAAAAATGTGGGGAGCAGAAAGCAGGGGTTTAAACTTTAAATGGCTCACAAACCGATAGAAACTGGGTTGGTTTACGAACCAACCTCTTGATTCATATGTGTTCATGGTTCGGTTCGAGGTTCAGCCCATCCCTATTTGAGAGTCACTGCTCACTCTGAAGAAGTGAGTAGTGACTCACAAAAGCTCATACCCTGAACTCTGGCAAAGTTTTTTGATCCTGCGACATCCTCGTAGTATAAGCCTGTGCTGTATTTGGAAACTGATACTAGCTATATGCTGCCTTTTTTGAAGGAAGAAGGAGACTGAAGAATGACGTTTAACAGGATGTTTGGACAACTAGCATTGAACTCAATAGTCTAGTCCACGGGTGTCAAACATAGGTCCCCGTGCCAGTACCGGCCCATCTAGGGCTCTTATCCAGCCCACGAGCAACTGGTCATTACCTTTATTGACAGATGACAAGAGGCTATGCATTATGTCCCCGTATACTGTAATGAGTAATGGGCGGTAGAAATGGGAGGGTGGGCATCAGGGAGTTACTTTAAGGAAATACTGTAATGTATGTTTGTGTTCTGAGTAAAAATAATATTGTTCGGTTTGCCCGTGTCCTGTATAAAGTTTATATCTCCGGTACCTCGCATTACATTTTTATGGCACACATGGCCTGGCCTGACAAAGTGACATTGATGTTAGAGCCAGCCCTCATAACAAATACGTTTGACACCTCTGGTCTAGTCCCTGTGATTGATTTTTAGGACCTAAGAGTCTGTCGTGATGGATTTCCAAAGTGATAGGAATAGTTCTGTTTTGAGCAGGATGTTGCTTGCTGCTCCCATCCAGCCTTATGCAGAGAGGCAAACTCTGCCTCAAGGGGGGGGGGGGCAGATCTGAGTGCCAGTTCTGAGGCTAGAACTGTAAAATATTCTGCAGTACAGAGCCAGTATATGTAATTGTACAGCTGACCAGAGAACTTTAATTGCAAGTAATCAATTTGTTTTTGTCGATAAATGTAATATGCTTTAGAAGCATAAATGTGGTGTAGTGGTCAAGAGTGGCGGGCTCTAATATACAGAACAAGGTCTGATTCCCCACTCCTCCTCCACATGAAGCCTGCTGAGTGACCTTGGGCCACTCATAGCTCTCCCAGAGCTCTCTCAGCCCCACCCCACCTGTCGTGGGGAGAGGAAGGGAAATATGATTGTAAGCCACTTTGAGATTCCTTAAGGTAAATAGGAATATAAAAACCAACACTTGTTCTAAAACCAACTTAGGAAATTCTCATTTTACAAAATGTAATTGGGTGAAATTAGCCATGTGTGTACATTTTTGTTTTTAACAGCTTGTGAAATGACCTCTTGTATCATTTGCATTGACTCTTGTTTTGTCAGTTGCTGAGCTATTTCCACAAACAAAATAAGTGTCGCCAAGGAGTTGAGGAGGTGCTATATAGACTATATCAACCTATTCTTTGGAGAGCACTGAAGGTAATTCACATGCTTTGGGTTTTCTTTTAAACATCTAGATTATTTTTGAAAGCTATACTAATTTTGGTACTAACAAATGGGAATCTTGTGGCATCTTTGAAGATCAGCACGTTTTAAACAGGGTTCCCCGGTCTTAACGAGCCTGTGGATATCTGCAATTTTGAGCACAGGCAGTGGGCACCAACACAAAATGGCTGCCGTGCAGAGTAGAGCCAATCACAAAACTTTGGGAGATTTCAAAGCCAATCACAGCCAGTCAGGTGTCTCTGGGTGCTGATAAAGGTGCTGCTACTCCTAGCATCTAGAGTTCGGAGGGCATACTGCTATTCTAACTAGGGTTTACTGGTATGAACTTACCTAACCCACCCTATCTATCATCCACTCACCATCCATCATCTTATCTGTTTTTAAAAAGCCATTGGAGCTAGTACCGCCACTTGGGTTGATGAATTCTGCATATTAACATCTGGTTAAGGAAACATTGCTGTGTCGGTCCTGAATCTAGTGCCATTTGGCTTCATAGGTAAACCTAGAGAAGAAATTCCCTCCTCATTATGTTCTTTAGCAGGGTTTTTATAGCCTAAATAATTAGGGACAAGGAAAGAACAGCCTTCTCAAATGTGAACCTATCCACATACTTGGGTCATTTAGTGAGGTTTAGGACTGGATGTTGCCACTATCAGAGGTGCATCTGTTTTTTTTGTTTTTCAGTGGCATTGAAAATGAGGAGCTCTTTTCCCAGGAAATATAAAGTAGTGGCAGATTACACAGTCTCTATCAGACTTTGGGTGCTTACAAAGTTTTGATTCTTTTTTTTTAAGAGTATGTGAGAGCTTGCCCTGACCTGGATGGCTCAGGCAAGCCCGATCTCATCAAATCTTGAAGGTTAAGCAGGATCAGCCCCGGTTAGGACTTGGATAGGAGTAGAGATGTGAAGGCTCGGAAAAAACCTGGAAAAATTCGGGGGGAAACGTTGGTTTTTTCCCATTTTTTCCTGAAGCCTTTTTTGTTTCTTTCCAAAAAATTGGAAAAATTGAAAAAAGAAAAGAAAAAAAATGATTATGGAACGTTTTATTTTAACATGATGAATAAAATAATTTAGGACAAGGTGTTCAAATATTTTCCAAATCATTTCTAAAAAATATGTATGGTATCAGATTGGACTAATTTCTGTGCACTGAGGACAAGCAAGTCCCAGGTTACAAACTGAACTCTCAAATGCAAGAACAAAATGCATTTCTTCCTTTAGGAGGTGCTATTGTCACAAGAAAAGAAAAAGGTTTCAGGGTTTTTTTTGCATGTGGGTGGCTATTCTGTTTCTAATAATTGTTTGGATACACTATATTTTTAATATGCTAGTTGTGATAATTTCATGCCAAGTAAAAATGTCCATAGTCATATTTTATGTTCCTAAAGTAACAGGATGACTTTCAATCTGGAGAAGAAAAAAGAAGTGCTAATGTAGCATTTTTTTCAATTTTTCTGAAAATTTCCGTGTTTTTTTTCGGGGAGGAAACGGGGTTTTTTCCGAGCTTCAAAATTTCTGGAAATTTTTCCATATCTAGATAGGAGACCACCAAGGAAGTCTAGGGTTGTTATTCAGAGGCAGGCAATGGCAAACTGTCTCTCAACATTTCCTGCCTTGAAAACCATACAGAGTCTCCATAAGTTAGCTGTGGTAAAAAAGAGAGAGAGCTCCCATGTTGTCATTATAGGAGGAATTAGCTATTTTGCACCTTTGTTCCAGTTTATCGCATGCATAACGGCTATAGCAAAAGCCTGCTAATTTAAAAGAAGCTAGTTCATTTATCTGTGCTCCCTTTCATACAGCAGCAGGCAATTAAGCAGGAAGAGAAATCTAACATTGTCACAAGGTTTGAAACTAAAGTATTGCTTTCATAATCAACCTGCAGCAGAGAATAGATGAAGCTTTTTTTGTTACATTAGCTGTTGTTCAGGGTTCTGAGCTCCTTGAAAGTTATATCATCACCACTGGAGAAGCAACAAGGAAAAACAACAGCTTGAATCATAGAAATAGAGCAGGGAAAATTAAAACAGAAAGCTATACGCCAAAAAGAAAGAGAGAAAAATAATAAAAGACAGCAGAAAATCTTAAGAGAACACGTTTTCACCTGTCACCCAAGCTTACTGTCAAGGCATTCACTGTGTGGAGGGGATTCTAGAACTAAGGCATTCTTGCAAGAAAGGTATCTCTGATCACCACCCACCTTTGCCTCCAAAGCTGGGGGTATGCTCTGGAGAAAGTCTTGATTGATCATAGCTCACAAATATGGTTAGTAATGTGCAAAAAAGATTTTTTTTCTATAACAATCAACAAAGCTGACTATTTCTCCTCCCCCACCCCCCTTTTTGTAACAGGCCAGAAACTCAGAAGTCCGATCAAACGCAGCGTTGTTATTTGTTGACGCTTTTCCTATTCTGGATCCACATTTTAGCAAAGAAGATACTGATAATGAAATTCAAAGGCAGTTTGATGAACTCTTTGTAAGTTCTTTGTGTCTGATCTACCCACCATCCCTCTCCATCAAACTGGTGATTTAAGATTAGCAAAATCTGCTCAGAAGTAAGGCAACTCAAGATGTTTAAGCACATTCCATTTTGCATACTAGTACTACTGCCTCATTTGGACTCTTCGCTGCTTGTATTTGTAAGAAAAAAAGTAGAAAAGTGAAAACCGTGATAAATATGTATCAGACCAAATAGCGCTATAAAGGTAACTACTAGCAGAATAGTGGCATGTATTCTGCTAACATAAAGGTTGTTGCATTAGGAGAAGTGTTGCTAAAGTTGCAGTAAGCTTTTGCACCTGGAAAATCTCATTGTCTCCAGTGGCTTATTTCCACTTACACAAAGGCATAGCACTCTTGGCACCCAAGGGGGGAGGAGTTCAACTCATCAATCAACTACCGCCTTCACTCAAGTGCAAGACTAGTTTTTTTCCAGGTATGCCATCAAAAACGAGGGGGTCATCTTAAATGTGCATATAAGTTACAGTTATGTCCAACTAATTTTTTTTGTATGTGTGTGTATAGCAGTTTTAGGGGGATTGTCTTACATTTAGGGTTGTCCTCCTTTTGCGTAAATCCAGGTAACACACAAAGTCACACTAGTGTATGAAATGGGATGAAACATGAATGAAGGAATGTCAGCAGTGTCATTTCAACACATTGCAGTAAATTAAATGAAGCATCTTTTATTTTAATACATTTTGATTTTTTTCATTTATAATTCAGTAGTGTAGTTAATGCATTTTCAAAATTGGACGTGGTAAGGGCTCATACTGCATGAGAATCAGGCCATGCCTCATTCTGCCACAAGTGTGGGAACTCTGTCCTTGTGGTAATGAAGCACCACTTACTTAGGGAAGAACACCACTGATGTTTCGCTGGATACATGCCACTGAATATTGATTCTCTCTCCTCCGTGATATTAAACTGTAACTTTATAGCACAGAGCATAAATTTATAATGTAGGATGATGAACAGTTGTACTGGTGATGAAATCCTAGACAAATGCCTAAGCTCATATTCTAGGCCTGGAGGAATTAGTTAATAAGTTCTGAAAATGTTTAGAGCACAACCCCTCTCTAGAAATGAATGTGAGGCGTCCGAAAACACAGTAGGGAGCCCTTGTGCAGTTCCAGTTCATTTCAACTGACGCATAACAATGCAGTCCTATACAGAGTTACTCTAGACTAATCCCATTGACTTTAATGGTTTTAGGCTACATTAACTCAATATAGGACTGCATTGTTAAACTAACTAATGAAATGTTAATGGACTAACTACAGAAGATTGATTCAGGTGGGTAGCCGTGCTGGTCTGAAGCAACAGAACAAAGTCTGAGTCCAGTGGCACCCTTAAGACCAACAAAGCTTAATAATGAGTATAAGCTTTCGTGAACAAGTGTGCATGCACACAAAAGCTTGTGCCCAGAATTAATATGTAAGGAGATGATACATTGTTCATGGCTGTTCTTTCTGTTTGTAGGCTCTCCTGGAAGATCCTCACCCTCTGGTCCGCTCAACAGGGGTGCTTGGCGTCAGTAAAATAGCATTCAAATATTGGGAGTTGATTCCTGCCACGGTGCTTGCTGACCTCTTAAAAAAACTAGTTGAAGACCTTGCTTTTGATATAACTTCAGCCGATGTTCGCTGCTCTGTTTTTAAAGTAAGATTAATTTAGTTATGTAGACTCTCTGCTGTGTTTAGTTTCTCATTGATTTGAGGGCATATTAATTACATTTCACATCACTTCGTTCTTGAAACAGAATGACTGCTGCTCCTGAATGTAACATGCAAACAGGGCCCTGTGAAGATTGGCAGGGGACCCGGAGCAGAGTTGTACATTCCTTTTGCTCAGCACAGAACACATGCACCACACAGGCAACATGCACATTGCCTTATGCTCATACCTTCTCTTCCCATGTAAGGGCAGTGGCAGCTATAGTGAGGCCAAGGCTGCTAGCTTTGGGGACTTTGACCCCATTAAACACATGGGAGGAAAGGGCTGTGGCTCAGTGGAAGGACACTGTTTTACATGAAGAAGGTCCCAGGTTTAATCCTAGCATCTCTAATTCCAGGTTCCTTTCTGTGCCTGAGACCTTAGAGAGCTGCTGCCTGTCAAAACAGACCACATTAAAGTTGACGGACCAAGCACTCTGACTCTGTATAAGGCAGCATCCCTCATTCTCTGTGGATTTGGGCTGGGCTGATAGAAGCCAGTTGGGTGAAGACCAGTGGGGGGGGGGATTGGTGTAAGTGTGCTGTGTAAATCAATGTGTCTTCCTTAACTTAGACCACTGGCACATCTTGCAATCCTTAATCTTGCTTGGCTTTCTACAGCCACCACCTTCTATTTTTTTTAAGACAGCCCCTGTGTATCTTAAGAGGGGAGAGGAGGTTGGAATTTTCAGTAGGGTTGCCAACTGGCCTGTAGAAGAACATCCTGGTCCTTTAACAGTGGTTTGACGCGTGGAAAGGTCTTATGCCTACAGGTAAATAACATCACCTGGTAAATAGTATTTCCAATCAGTCTTGGTTAAAGGTACAGAATGTTTTTCTACAGGCCCATTGGCAACCTGTGCTTTCGGGTATATAATAGTCTGCAAACATCATACAAGTACCACTATGCTGTTTTGCAGATATGGGCTGGTGGTCCCTTTGTGATTATATCTAGTAGAAGTGAGGAAACTAACGATAAAGTTAGATCCAGAGCAGAAACGGTGGTTAATCTAATAATACCTGAAATTCGAAATAAAAACATTAATAGGTATATTGGACTTTTAAAAAACTTGTGCTCCATGCCTTCCCAAATATTCTTTTCTGTCTCTGTTCCAGTAGAGCTTTACTTTTACATAAAAGGAATATTAAATGGAGAATTTTCTAAGCGTGACATATGCCGCTTCGCATTAAACACCACATTTTAGTCAAATGTGTTGCTTTGCTTTTTCCCCTGTTGTTCTCCAAAGCCAGTTCTCTAAGCTGCATGCGCTTAGCAATTAGAATCGTTTCCATTCTGTATTCCCTGTTTTCTGGCGATAACCTTTTTACTGGTGGTTTCTTTTCTCTATTGTAGTGCTTGCCGATAATTTTGGACAACGTCCTAAGCCACCCGTTATTGGAACAGCTCCTGCCAGCCCTGAAATACAATCTCCATGACAATTCTGAGAAAGTTAGAGTGGCTTTTGTTGATATGTTGCTGAAAATTAAGTCTGTCAGGGCTGCAAAGGTAGGATAAATTAGGTTTGCTGGGCTGCACAGAACAAGGCAATTTATTTTGCAAAATGTGCATTCATCAATACCGTGACAATCCTAAGAGGAAAAGGAGGCGTAAGGAATGCATTAGATGTTTGCTCCCACCTATTTACTTATTGCTGCATTTTAAATTGAGCATTGCCTACAAAAAACGGATGCATGTTTTCCTCAGGTTTTCTAATAAGTATCTTAATTGTAGCCTTCCAGTTAAGGAACAACTGAGAGGTGGGTGTTTTAATGATCCTCCGGACAGTTTTTAAAAATCATGTGGCCTCGTTCTGAATCGAGTAACGAGTGGCTGGTGTTTTTGTTGCTGCAAAAAAAATAATAAACTGCCTCTAAATGGAAAAGATTTGAGACCCCTGCTGTGCATGATTGAGGATCAGGAATGCTGCTGAATTGGTTAGAAAGGTGTGGAAGCAGGAGGAACACCAGCAAACATCAGAGGGAAACAGTGCTAGTTATTACTTAGGGCAGCGAATCAGATGAGACGGCGTAATGTTAATAGGGGCAATTTCTGCCTATCATATTCTTATCCCCACCCTTCCTCCAGGGGGCTCAAGGTTCTTTCCTGCCCCTTTGACCTGTGCTCTGTGAGTTAGGTGAAGGTGTGAGAGAGTGATGGGCCCAGGGTTGTCCAGGCAGCTTCATGGTGGGGCGGGGGGTTGAAACCAGATCTCCCCAGTCTATAGCTCATTCTGACCACTGTGTAGCACACTGACAGTAGAGTGTGTGTGAGCCATGGAGTGTTCAGTGTATTAGCTGAGAGTGGCGTTGTTACAAAGGCAATGCAAATGTGGGGGGGGGGAATCTTAGAAAAATCATTTATTTCTGTAAGTGTGCTTGGATTTGTACCTCTTGTTGAATTTTTTGTGGTCTCTGTTTTTATCGTGTGTTTGCCTGGAATGTTCTGAAAAGGGGGGTTTTGTTTTTAAAAACCAGACAGAGTATCTGTGTCTTTGGCTTGAAAAAAGGCGGTGGTTGCTTTTTCAGGCATTGTGCCGCCATGGCTAGGTATGTTGATAGGATGCTTGAAAGACCGGGGGGGGGGGGGGGCCCTTTTTTAAAGAACTACTAACTTGGGGGCTGATTTGAATGTTAGTTCCCCTCACATTGCTTCTCTGTTGGGGTGAGATGGGGAGTGGGCCTCAGGCTCCCATGCTCCCTGCATGTAGACATGAAGGCTGTTATTAGAATGCAGAAGCCCTTGACCCAGCATTGAACCTTATCCAGATTATATGCCCAGATTTAAGTGAGAGGCCTTCCTTACATAAATGTGGGGTCCTTGTTTTGCTCTTTCACCCATGTGTGGTAGGAGGGGTGGGAAGGCCCTCTACTGGTCTTGCAGCTCCTTTTAGCTGGGAGTGGTGTGATGGGGGAGAAATGTCTAAGCAGAGCTCTCAGTACTTGGTACTTGGCTGTTGCACAGAAATGGAAGCTCAGGAGACTTTGTCTTCTCAAGTTGGTATGATAAGCCCCAAGTGAGAACATGCAGTCGTCAGAGCAAGAGCATGTTTTCCTTGCTACCTGTTTTATACCCTAGGTATGCTGGCCACTGGTACAGCACACAGGTGATGTTGCTTGTGCCCTGCTTGTTCATCTAAACTACCAGGAAAAGGGACATACAGAGAAGGATACCTGGGCTTCATGCAGGACTAGTGAAGGCAGGCAGTGGGAGCAACTGGCTGATACGAACACATGAAAGGTGAAGCTAATTTACAGAAGTGGGTTTTGAACAGAGATTTCAGAGGGAGCAGCGTGAGAACTGGCCAGAAGAAACAGCTGGTAAGCTCGCAGGTAGTACATCAACAGGGAAAAGCAGAGAGAGCTATAAAATGTAGTCATGATAACATGTTTTTATTCCCCACACCAGTTTTGGAAGATCTGTCCTATAGAGCATCTCTTGACTCGCCTTGAGATCGATTCACGGCCGGTGTCACGGCGCCTAGTAAATCTTCTGTTCAGTTCTTTTTTGCCTGTTGATCAACCTGAAGAAGTGTGGTGTGAGCGCTGTGTCACGCTAATCCAAATGAATCCAGCCGCGGCAAGGAAGTTCTATCAGTATGCTTACGGGTACACGAGCCCAGCCAACATAGGTACAGTTCTGAAACAATCTGCTCATTTTATTAACCTGATTTTCTTTCATATTGTTTGTTTTAATATATTGTTATGCTGCTACAGACCAATTTCCGAAAAGCTGCAGTCCATGAAAAGTTGTTCCCAGTAAAAACCGCAGTGGGATCTTGCTATCTCCAGCATTTCTTGCTTCATTCTTGTGCACAATGTGCCAGGCACCTCAAAAACTGCTGCATTCACCACATAGATCTGTATCCCTTTTTTAAAGCTGTTTTATTTCATAGCCATGAGAGCTATAAAGCCTTGTCATATGTGTCCTGGTTTGGTGCTGTAGCATACAGCCAGGAGGATAGGGAATGTCCCCAGGAAAAGCAGATACGTCTTTCCCTTGGGACAACAATGGGTTGAGCATTGGAAGCCAGCCATGCAGATGGTGAGGTGTGTGCAGTGCTGCAATGACTAGACAGTTCTGTGTAAACAGAAGATTCTAAGATGCCTTTTCTAAAGGGTTGAATGCAGAGCCATTTTGCACCAGAGCGGTAGAAGTAGCATGTTCCATGCTGGACTTTATTCATTAACTTCAGGTCTTCCTTGCAGTGTTGGACCATCTTGAAAAAGTTTCTGTATCTGCACTTGGAGAGTCTGCTTCCTGTTTAAATATGCTTAAGAATGAAGGATAGGGTAAAAAGTTCTTAGAACATTCCTGTAAACCGCCCAGAGACCCCTAGGGGTTAGGGCGGTATAATAAGTCGAAAATTAAATAAATTAATTAATAAATAAATATTTAAGACTTAGTACTAAAGTCTGTCGGTCTGCTCACTTCTGCTTTTGCTCAGTTCTCTATAGAGTAAACAGCAAAAAACTGTTAGGTAACTTTTATAGCAAATGCCTACACAATTAGTAATGCCTTCTGGAGAATTCTGTGCCAGAAGGAAGAGGGGAGAGATGCTGCCTCATGGGCTTGGGTTCATGGTCTGCATGGCCATTGAGTAATACAGGGTTTTAATGGCGGCCACATCTGCATAATTTCTTTTAAATTTTTTAATGTGTATGTAGATTGTCATTCTAACAAACTTGCTGAAGGTGACTTAGAATAATTTAAAATCACAAAACAATAAGGTATAAATGTCTAAGCAGCATATTTTGATTTATTTTTCTCTTGTTATTTAAGTGAAAATGTTAAATAGAAAAAATATTTTAAATGAAGCATTATCTGAAATTAATGCACTATAATCTTATTATTATAAATCAATAGCTCTGTTGTCCACTGCTTAAATTATTCAAGTAATCTTTTGTACTTATACCTTAATTTTAGCAAAGTTGATGCTTACCATTCAGAGCTGTGTGAATGCCTGCATCCAGGAACGATTAAAGGCATGTGACAGTGGGGATGAAGACAGTGAAAAAGAGAACACAAGTGTAAGAATGTAACAGTACACACTCCAATACAAAAACGTTGATTCGTTCTGAGGAGTCAGCAGGCATAGAATTTTTTTTTCTCTTTGGAAGAAATTAGAGCAAAGATTAGTTCACGTCTCAGTTTCTCCAAAATATTTTTGTTCTTTTGTTTCCCCTCCATTTCTGACTCTTGATAAATTATGGTTGTTAGAAGCTGAAGACTGTGTCAAGACCATTCCTTGTCAAATAATCTAGACATCAGGGTTGCATCACAATAGCGGATTTTTTTGAAATTTTACATTCATTTGAAATGTGTTTGCAGCCAGATTCTTTTTTAAAATCTGTCTCTGGGATTAGGGTTGTACCCCTCTGAATATATACTAAGGGTCACATTTCTCATTTTGGAGGTTTAGGTTTGATAGGAAAGTAAATATTGCATATATTTCTGTATACCCCCCTTGAAATGTTTTTCTTTTTCATGGATTTGGTTTCTGGAAATTTTACATCTCTAGTGTGGTCCCCCAGTTCTGAGGCAGGCACTGTACCTTGTGTAACATTTCTGCTGCTGCTGGCAATGTCTGAGGTGGCCCTAGGCACTGAGTTCTGACAACTCATACACAAAACCCAAACTGAGCTATATGTTTGGTATATTTGGCCTAGATGTCTTCCAATGAGACTCAATTAGTTAAAGAGTAAATGTATTGCCTTCTGTAGCTATTGGGAAGACTCATTCCTAAATGCCAACTTATGTTCTCTTTCATTCCTCTGCCAGCGGCTGCATCTCTTGCTATCTATACACCTCTTTTTCCACTGACTTCTCTTTCTTCATGTCATTCTCTTTCTGGAAATTAAATTTACATCTTTGGTATTAAAATGTGCAGGTGTTTGGAATGTCTCCTTCTGTTTCTTTTAAGTCTAATCTGAGACACATTATTCAAAGCAAACTACATGCTAATCCTCAAACATTTACATTTCAGATGCCAAATAATGTGCTGTCTGTCGCTGACATACCTTCCATGGGAGGTTTACTCGAGGTTGTTGTAATTCTCTGGAGAAGCATTCATAAAGTACTCGATCGCAACAAAGGAGCGAAAAATCATATAGTCAGGAAATTTGCTTCTGTGCTTGGAGAATATTTTAAAACATTTACGGTAAATCTTTTAAGCTTAAGCTATACGTGTATACGATAATATTTCTCTAATAAGCTTTGTTCTGTGTTTTAGGTCATCCATAAATAGGCGTGGGTTTGTAGTGGGAAGTGCCATCGAGTCACAGCTGACTTATAGTGACTCTCATGGAGTTTTCAAGGCAAAAGATGTTCAGAGGTTGTTTTCTGTTGCCTGCCTCTGTGTAATGATCCTGCACTCCCTTGGGGGTCCCCCATCCAAGTACTTACCAGGGCTGACCCTGCTTAGCTTCTGAGATCTGACAAGATTGGGCTAGCCTAGGCCATCCAAGTCAGGGCAGGCATGGGTTTAGGGGCAGGGAAAGGGAAGGAATGAGCAGAGTAAGAAATGGGAAATTTGAGGTGTGTCCGTGTGTGTGTGTGTGTGTGATAGTCAGTAGCAGGAATAAGCAAAAGGATGACATCTCTTTGAAATGCAAGAATGTTGCCTCAGATCACTTATATTATTATTGCATAGTTGCAAACCGGTAGCAGACCACATAAATCCGCCATTCAGATGGTCCTTCAGAATATCATAGTTGGCCTTCCCTCAGATGCGGAAAGCACAGTTTGAAGTGGCTCTCAACTCTGAGACTTTGCAGCAAATTATGATTTCAGGAATACGAAAGTGAAGTCCCGTGGGGAGAACCGAGGCAACCGTATCAGAATCCCTGGCTTGCTTTCAGTTCTTCAACTCTGGTCTGAAGGATTTTCTGAACTGAGCTAAAGAGATGTAGAATGTTGAGACTGCTGCATGGAAACACAGTGTTTTTCTAGTATTCTCACATTGAGGATGCCAGTGACAGCGTTTGCTTCAACTTATTTTAGGGCATTTGCTCTTTTAGCATATGCCTCTGAATATATCCTGAATAATTCTGTTTTCACTCATAGAGTTGGATGAGTGAATCTTCTCAGTCAGAACTCTTTAAAAGCTATAATACCTTGTAAAGTATTTATGAAGTTGTGAAGACATTTGACCAGACTGAACCTCCCATATAGTGTCAGATTTTTATTACAGTTTCTAATGTTATTGTTTATGTTTAGATTTGTACTGTACTTAAGGCAGCCCAAGCCGATGGGCCCAGATGATGGCATAACCTCATATTGCTGTGCTTTTAATGAATGGCCATTTTTGCCCCTGTGAAAATGAAAGGGAGTTTGCTTGAAACATATAGTACTCTTTCTTAGAATAGATTTCTTTATTAAGGTATTACTAATTGCTTGTAACATTTTATTTGTCGTCTTCCTTGTTTCTAGGATGATCGCTGTATCTCTCCACTGCTTATCCTAGCATCTTTCATGCCACCTGCTGCTATTCCTGCATTCAGGTATGTCTTAGTTTAAAAAGCAAATGTAGATGGAAATTTCTGCCAATTATGTACTGCACAGATTTTATTCTTTTAAGGCTATTCAGTATTCTGTTAAGGGTATTGAATTCTGTAGTCTTTGAGATTTTCATGTGCTTCAGTGTCTCCACTATAATTTTTGCATTGTTTCTAGTTGTGGCGTGATCTCTAAACTGAGGAATCTGGCAAATGGTGCTACTGATGAGAAATACTCTACTCTAATAGACTGCCTGTGTCGTTGGGGGAAAGTGGGCCATGTTCTTGAATTAATTCATGATTGGATAATTGCTGAGCCAAGCACAAGAGAGGTATGCTATAAAAAAAGGTTGTTCAAATGGCTTATGCAAATTTTTAGTTGATTGCCTTATTTAACATTTGCTCAGCACTTTGTACTGCTTAACAATGAAGGGTCTTTTCTACCTGTGCCTAGAGTAACGAGACTTCTAAGCGCCGAGTACGTATCCAAGAAATGCATGAATCAAAACCAGAATTGGCACTTGATTATGCAGAGTACTTACTAACTCATCACATGAATCGGGATTGTCTTCTCTCTCTCCCCAAAGAGAAACTGAGCCAGTTTTTGAAAGTTCTTCAAACGGCAAAGGTATAGCTTCTTTTCCTTCAATATTGTGTGATAATTATTATAAATCACTTGTTGTTGGAGAATAGTTTTTATGGTTGCTCCAGATCGTGGTTGCTTTTCTCTTAGATAACCCCTTTTCGCATGTCATTGTTGTCAGTGGATCTCTAAAGCAGTTCATTTCAGTGTACACAGAAAAGACTTTGTATGCTGTCTACAGCTCACCTTTATGGTCCTATCCATCTTGGCTTAGATGTGGTACTGTGCAATGCCAGGTCAATTAACAATAAGACAATGGTCCTTAGGGACTTCATTACGGAACAACAGGCTGACCTGGCTTGCGTGACCGAGACCTGGGTGCGGGAAGGGGAGACGGTAGCTCTCTCCCAGCTTGCCCCACCTGGGTTTTCGGTCCTCCACCAATCTCGGACTAGGGGGCGGGGGGGGGGAGTGGCGATATTTGTACGAGAGTCTTTCTCCTTCAGGGCGCTCCCGGCGGTGGAGATCGAGGGCGTAGAGTGTGTTGGCCTGGTGCTGGAGGCCGAGGAGAGTTTGGCAATCTGGCTAGTGTACCATCCGCCTAACGCGCCGGCCAGTAGCCTGCCGTCCCCACTCGAGGCCATATCAGGCTGGGCGCTAGAGCACTCTAGGCTTTTAGTCCTGGGTGACTTATATGTCCACGCCGATGACGCGGCATCGGGTCGGGCTACGGACCTAGTGACGTCCATGGAGTTGCTAGGACTCTCCCAATGGGTGTCGACCCCCACGCATCAGGCTGGGCACATGCTCGATCTGATCTTCGTGTCCGGGATTACAGTGGACTGGATTACTGCGAAAGCAGTACCATGGTCGGACCACTATGCCCTGAAGGCTCGTGCAAATGTCCCGCCCCGACCCCGTTTAGGCAGCGAGCGGATTCTAGCTCACCCACGGAGCCTACTGGACCCAATGCGGCTTCAGATGGCTCTGCGGGATCCGATGCCCCCTGGCGGCTCGCTGGATGAGCTCGTGGATGACTGGCATAGCCGACTTTCTACGGCCATCGACGTGATCGCTCCCCGGCGCCCTCTGCGCCCTCGCTCTAAGCTGGCCCCCTGGTATACCCAGGGGTTGCGGCTTATGAAACAGGAGCTTAGACGGTTAGAGAGATGGTGGCGCCGAGCTCGCAACAAGGCTACAAGAGCATCTTATAGGACGTTTATGAGATCCTATGAGGTGGCAGTCAAGGCTGCGAAGAGGGACTTCTATGCAGCCAGGGTTGCATCTGCTAGCTCATGCCCGGCCCAATTATTTAGAACGATTCGATCATTGACAGCTCTGCCTCAGGGCGGACAAAACAGTAGGGAATTGGATATTGGCTGTGAGGCTTTTGCGACCTATTTTGCAGATAAAGTCTTGACGCTCCGCCGCGACCTCCCCGCCACAGTTGATACAGTACGTGAACTTGAGGCCCCTTGCACGGCTTCGCCGGGTTTTGGGAGCTTTGACCGGCTCAACCTGGAGGAAGTTGATAGATTGCTCGGGTCTGTACGCCCAACCACTTGTTGCCTGGATCTGTTCCCCTCCTGGCTCATTAAAGCGGGCCATGAGGGGTTTTGAGGTGCCTTGAGGGAGATTATCAACAAGTCCCTCTCAGAGGGACGGTTCCCCGAGGCACTTAAGGAAGGGATGGTCCATCCTCTCTTGAAAAAAACAACTTTGGACCCGGCCGAATTGGCCAGCTATCGGCCGGTGTCCAATTTGCCTTATTTGGGCAAATTGATTGAGAGGGCCGCGGCGGTACAGCTACAGGGCTTTCTAGATGACGCTTCCATCCTTGACCCATTCCAGTCCGGCTTTCGCCCAGGGCATGGGACGGAGACTGCTGGTTGCCCTTACTGATGACCTCCGTAGACACCTGAATCGAGGCGGTGTGGCGGCATTGCTGTTGTTAGATCTGTCGGCCGCATTCGATACGGTCGACCATCAGCTGCTGGCCCACCGCCTTGCCGACGTGGGGATTCAGGGACTCGCCTTACAATGGCTTGTCTCTTTTCTCCAAGGTAGGGGACAGAGGGTTAGGCTAGGGGAACAGCAGTCCCGGAGGCACCTGCTTGAATATGGAGTGCCTCAGGGGGCAGTGCTCTCCCCGATGCTATTTAACATATATATGCGCCCCCTCGCCCAGATTGTCCGGAGGTATGGGCTTGGGTGTCATCAATATGCCGATGACACCCAGCTCTATCTGATGTTGGGCAGCCAGTCGGATTCCGATCCAGAAGACCTTCACCGGGCGTTACAGGCCGTGGCTGGGTGGCTCAGGTTGAGTTGGCTGAAGCTGAATCCGGCGAAGACGGAGGTCCTGTGCCTGGGTCGGGGAGGCATGGGATTAGGGCTCCCACTCCCGGCCTTCGACGGGGCGCCGTTGGTGCCAGCTTTGGAGGTTAGGAGTTTGGGAGTGCTCCTGGACCCCACCTTAACGATGGAGGCCCAGGTGGCGGCCACCGCCAAAGCAACCTTTTATCATCTACGGCTGGTGCGGCAGTTGGTCCCCTTCCTTAGCCGCGATGATCTAGCCACAGTGATCCACGCGACGGTCACCTTGAGGCTAGATTACTGTAACGCTCTCTACATGGAGCTGCCTCTGTCGCAAATTCGGAGGCTGCAGCTGGTGCAGAATGCAGCGGCCAGGCTGGTAATGGGGGTCCCAAAATGGGATCACATCCAGCCTGTACTGAAAGTGCTGCACTGGCTGCCTATAGCGTTCCGGATTCGCTTCAAAGTGCAGGTGCTTACCTTTAAAGCCCTACATGACCAGGGTCCAGCATACCTGAGGGACCACCTATCCCCATACAGGCCCCAAAGAGCACTTCGGTCGGGGTCACAACCCCGCCTAGTGACCCCGGGACCTAAAGAGGCCAGGCTTGCTGCCACAAGGGCCAGGTCCTTTTCGGTGGCGGCTCCTACCTGGTGGAATGAGCTCCCGGAGGAGATCAGGGCCCTGCGGGACTTTTTACAGTTCCGCAGGGCCTGCAAGACGGAGCTCTTCCGCCAGGCTTTTAAGTAGGAGCCGCCGCCGCCACTATGACCACCATCGTGCACTGCAGAACAGCACCGTCGGGGTGGGCTGATTAGCCAACTGGGAACATCTTGGCCTATGGCACCCCCTCTTTCTGTTGACCTCACGGTGAGATTGAATAACAAGTGGGTATTTTAACTACCGATGCATCCTGTAAGATTGAACTGTGTTTAAGTGTTCAAATTGTGTAATTTTATCACACCTTGCGTGCCTAAATTGTTTTAATGTGTTATATTTTATTGCACTGTAAGCCGTGTAAGCTGCCCTGAGCCCGCGTGCGGGGAGGGGGGGTATAAATGAAATGAAATAAATAAATAAATAAATAAACTGTGGTCTGGCGGTATGTGAATGAGCTGTTTGGCAAGACTGGTTTTCAGAGGAAGCACAGCCATCGTGCTGGTTTGGATGCAATGCAGAACCAGGGAGGAGGGAATCACACAATTTAATTATTTATTCCATTTATACCCCGCCCTCCCCGCCAGAGCAGGCTCAGGGCAGCTTACAGAAGGATAAAACATAAGTAAACAATTCTAACATAGCTAAAGAAGAAGAAGAGGAGATTGGATTTATATCCCGCCCTTCACTAGCCAAAGGTGTCTCAGAGCGACTTACAAACTCCTTTCCTTCCCCTCCCCACAACAGACACCCTGTGAGGTGGGTGGGGCTGAGAGAGCTCTGACATAAACTGCTCTTTTTCGAGAACAGCTGTGCCAGAACTATGGCTTGCCCAAGGTCATCCAGCCAGGTGCAAGTGGAGGAGTGGGGAATCAAACCCGGTTCTCCCAGATTAGAGTCCGCGCACTTAACCACTACACCAAACTGGCCCTGCCCTGCGGAAGACATCAGGGCCCTGTGAGACCTCTTGCAGTTCCGCAGGGCCTGTAAAATGGAGCTCTTCCACCAGGCTTTCGATTAGGAGCCACCACTGATGAATGAGCATTAAGAACCCTTATGGATGCTGGCCTGTACAGCAACCGCCATCTATACTGATCTGTATTTTACTTGTATATTGTTTTATGTGGAATTTTTATTGGGATTGCATTTATGCATTGTGTTTTATTGTATTTTAACTGTTGTATGCCGCCTTGAGCCTGCCTGTGCAGGCAAGGCAGGATATAAATAAAAAAATAATAAATAAATAAATAAATTAAATTAAACTATCTAAAAAGAATCCAATGTCATAAAGTGCTAGCCAGATGAAAACTAAATAAGTGAGTTTGAGACTCTTTCTGAACCAGGCTTTGTGGCCCAAGGCCTATGTTGGTTTGCACAGGACAGGGTTGTCCTGTCTTGGATTTGTGAAGGTTTTACAGGTTTCATAGTCCAAGGCTCCGAACCAGATTCCCTGTATTCGCAATGAAGAACTGGATTGTATTGATGGTTTAATACTGGCACAAGGGAATTTTCCTTCCAGATTGCACACTATGCTGAGGCCTGCTCAGTCTGGAGGCCCACAATCAGGATCAACTGTTGAAGTGTGTGTGTGTGTGTGTGTGTGTGTGTGTGTGTGGGCAGGCAACACACAGGTCATAAGCAGATCATGTCATTTTGGGTCTAGATTACTGGGACAGTGTCTTATTTCTTCTATGTCTTATATCTTCTTATACTGCAGCACCATATATATCTAGAAATGAGTCTCATTGGTTTCAGTAGTGCTTACTTCAAGTAACACATGTAAGATTATAATCTTTACTTTGAACGTCTGCTAAATACTTCAGATGCATCAAATGTCCATAGTTTAGTGAGGTCCTAGTTTGTGGGTGGGAATGTGAGAAGAAGGGAAGATATCGTTGCCACTTTCATCTAAACTAAACACACAATACACAAGCTCTTTTCTTCATAGTTGTATTTGTGCAATACCTTTTTTCCAGGTCGTTCTGGACTGTAATATTAGAGGAACTCATACAAGATTTCCTGGCTTTCATCGGACAACTGCTCTGAGAGCCTTCAGTCTCTATTGTAGATTAAGTATTCATGTGCAGTACAAGGTATAGTCCTTTCAAGATTTTTTAAAAGTTTCTGTATTTTATACCCTGCCAGTATCTAAGGCAGTTTATAAATAGATGGATTCAGGAGGGGGACTCACAAGGACTTGCCAGGAAGGGGAAATAACATTTTCCCTCTTGCCTTGTTCTTCAGGTAGCCACAGCCTTCCCCACTTCCTAGTCCTGGCTCCTTTAAATGGGATTTGGCTATGAGAGACTAGATTGAAATGTGTTATATATAATCCACTGTCTAGTTGACCGAGGTTGCTATATCGTTGTATTTGGCTTACTGATTGATTGATTGATTGATTGATTGAAAAGTTTTTCTCATAGTTGTGGTTCTCCGTGAGTCCCAGAAGGAAAAGTGGACTATAAATGGACACAGTAATGGCACTAATATTGAAAACATCAAATCACTAAAAATGAATAACGTATAAAAGTGAAACATTTAAATTGTTTTGTATATGTGTGCATTTTAAAGTTGACTTTAATGTTTTTGATTGTTCAGTGCCTTGGGAGGGCCCTGAGCTGAGTGAAAAGGTGGCATAAAATGTTTTTAATAACATAATTTTTAAAGTTTTTAAAAGAAATCAGCCAAAACACACAATCCGTTTAACATGGTAATAAGACAATAGAATAAAACAAGAAGCTGCAGCAATAGGCACTTTAAAAGCAGGGACAGTCTGAACCCAGCAGGTAAAAATCAGTTCCCAAAGGTCATCCAGGCTGCGGTCACACACACACGAAATAATCCACTTTCAATCCACTTTCAGTGCACTTTTGAATTGGATTTTGCCTGTTCACACGTAAAAATCCAGTTGGAAAGTGCATTGAAAGTGGATTATTTAGTGTGTGTGACTGCAGCCCGGAAAAGGAATGTCTCTAATATATGTTGGAAGGCCCAAATGGGCCAAACCAGCCTTACCTATTGTACATATTTTCTGTTTGTTGTATTTCTATCCCAAATCTTCCTCCATGAAGCGCAAGGTGGCTGACATAGTCTTCTCTCCCTCCCAGTTCCTGCCAGGTAGGTTAGGCTGAGGAAGAGTAATTGGCCCAAGGCCACCTGTTCACTTTTATGGCAGAATGAATCAACATGGCAGGCTACAAATTGTGACCGAGTGGGAATTGGAACTATGGTCTTGCCAGTCTTATTCCAACACTCAAGACACCTTTCTTGCTTCCGGGGGGGGGGGGGGGGGGGGAGTCTGGGGCAGCAATGGCAAAAGCCCATTCCCAGGTTCTGCTAGCCTTTCATTCCGTAATTACAGTTCTCTCATTCGAGTCTTACCAGCTGAGTCTTACCAGATTCTAGACAGGCTCATACAGGTGGATGATGTTCTTCAGACTTACTGTTCCTTTAATTTAATTGGTTGAGGCAACGGGCACCCACATATGGCCTCCCTGAGGTTGCTGTCACCCACCCACCTACTGATAACTGGCCTTTATTTCACCCGTACCATCAGGCCAGAATTTTTATAGCCAGCTGACTTCTGTTTTAAGTTGTACCCATAGTTTTTGACGTTTATATTGTGTTTTAAACTGCAGTTGTATTTATTATAATGATGTTACCTGCCCTGAGGCCGTCTGCGGGGTGGGTAGGATATGAATACAAATAATGCCTCAAACAATGCATCATCATTTGTTGTGTGTGTGTTTTTAACAGTTTGCCTCTGAAGGACTAGATTACCTTTCAGATTTGGAGGAAACGGGGGTTTGGATAGAGAATACAGTTCTACCAGCTTTTTTAACAGAAGAACAGGAAGGCAGCTTGGATCTATCCAATGAAACTGCTCAGCTGGTCATTCAGGTAGCGTGTGTGTTGCATGGATTTCCTCTACATATGCTGTGTAGCTAATGCAGCATGCCGTGGTTGTAGTTTCCAAATATATAGCCAATCCGTAATGTGCTGCTGCTAGTCTGTTATTTCTCATCTGCTCAGCACTCCTTTTTGTTTGGAGCAATGGTCTCCAGAGGTGGAGCAATGTCTCTAACTATGGATTGCCAATTTATACAACATAATCAAACCTTGGCATACCACCTCATTTCAAGCCTGCTTCTACATTACTGACAGATTTTGCAAAGACGCATTTTTAAGAGGTAAGTTTCCTTAAACATGATTTATGATGCTGGAATTTTGACCCCAGGGTCCATATTATTTTCCCCCTTTTTGTTTTGATGGTCAGTTTCTCTGTGCTAAATTCATCATAAAAATGAGATAAATCCAGAGGACAGTAGGAGGTAAAAGCGAGTGTTGAGCTCACTTCCATCCATCTTGTACAAATTGAGCGGTGCTTGGGGTGGGGTGGGGATGGAGGGGATGGAGAGAAATATGAAGGATTTTTTCTTTTTTTAAGGTCTGTTAAAAATGGCTAACTACAATTGTTGAAAAACTAATAGTAACTTTACCTGGTATTTTCTTAGAATTCTTCAGTTTCTTTAACAGATCATAAAGTAATAGAATAGATCAGGTATGTCCAACAGGTAGATCGCGATCTACCAGTAGATCGTGGAGGGGTCAGAGGTAGATCACCAGCCCCACTTGGTCTCCTGGTTTGCTGGACAGATGTTTGGGGGTTTTTTATGATTGTTTGGTGGTAAATGACAGACAGTGCATTATAAATGGGGGGGTGGTGGTAGTGGGTTAAAATCTATTTTGAAACTAATTTGAAACTTTATTTACATGGTGGTAGATCACTGGCACTTTTGGCCGGAAAAAACAGATCGCTACCTGTTCGAAGTTGGACATGCCTGGAATAGATAATCAGAAAGTCATACAGTAGATAATTTGAATTGTATTCAAATGTGTGCTGAAGGTATCTAAATATGTTCATCATCATAAAGCCTAACATTTATCCCTTCATATGTAGACTTACCTGACAGTATGCAAGGACTTAATAGCTGTTGGTCTTGGGGATCTGCAATTTGAAGTGCACCTTCTAAACATGGCACTTGTGATCACATGCAAAGGTATGCTGTTTACACTGTGAGTTACTGTTCTACTAATTTAAAGAAGCAGCTAGAACAAAGAGTTCCAGCTAGGCGATAATTGCCTTTATTTTTGCATGGATTCATGAGGTCTTGCTTTCTTTAGGAATGCAACTGGACTAAGGCCATTCACAAAGAATGAAATCTGTGGGAAGATTTTTCAAAACATTGGCTTGGCTCCTAAGTTGCTGTTCTTTTTGGTATAACAGCATTTATATTGGAGGAGAGTATGACAATTTCTGCTGATCCCCACTGCAGACTCTCACTTTGCCCCCCCCCCCCCCTTGCCCCCGGGGCCCCACTGGGACACAGTTTCAGAGGGCACAGAAGACTGCAATGGGAGGGGGGATGCCACAAATTTCCTTTCCTTTTGCACAACTCTGCTTATGTTGCTTAGGACCCCATGCCAATATTTTAAGTGTATAATGTCAAGTACTTATATACTTAAGACCATAAGAAGAAGAAGAAGAGATTGGATTTATACCCCGTCCTTCACTACCCAAAGGTGTCTCAGAGCGGCTTACAAACTCCTTTCCCTTCTCCTCCCCACAACAGACACCCTGTGAGGTAGGTGGGGCCGAGAGAGCTCTGACAGAAACTGCTCTTTTTTCAAGAAGAGCTCTTATCAGAACTATGGCTTGCCCAAGGTCATCCAGCCAGGTGCAAGTGAAGGAGTGGGGAATCAAACCCGGTTCTCCCAGATTAGAGTCCGCTCACTTAACCACTACGTCAAAAGAGAAGCCATGATGGATCAGGCCAGTGGCCCATCCAGTCCAACACTCTGTGTCACACTGGACCAAAAACCGAGTGCCATCAGGAGGTCCACCGGTGGGGCCAGAACTCCAGAAGCCCTCCCACTATTGCCCCCCCCAAGCACCAACAATACAGAGCATCACTGCCCCAGACATAGTGTTCCATCTATAAGGATAAAGATTTTGCTTGCTCGAAAGCTAGTCGAATCCAACTCTAGGGGGTGGTGCTCATCTCTGTTTCCAAGCCGAAGAGTCAGTGGTGTCTGAAGACGTTTCTGTGGTCATGTGGCCAGCATGACTAAATGCTGAGGCTCACGAAACGCTGTGTGACCTTCCCCCCAAAGTGGTACCTATTTATCTACTTGCAATTTCTTGCTTTCGAGGTTGGCAGGAGCTGGGGCCAGAGACAGGAGCTCACTCCGTCATGCGGCACTTGGGTCTTGAACTGCCGAACTACAGACCTTCTGGTCTGCAGCTCAGCATCTTAACCTCTGAGCCGTCACGGCCCATCTATACCTTGTGGCTAATAGCCACTGATGGACCTCTGCTCCATATGTTTATCCAATCCCCTCTTGAAGCTGTCTGTGCTCATAGCTGCCACCTCTTCCTACAGCAGTGATTTCTATGTGTTAATTACTTGTGACATGATGAGTTTATCAATGACATACCAAAGTCAACAAATGGTGGGAAAATGCATGTCATATATGTCCTGCAGGGTCTCTAAATGCTTTTCAAACTGTTAACTGATAAGATTTGGATGGCACTTTTTTTTTCAGGCTACCAAGAGCCAGTTCTTGTATTTCTTTAGTCCCATTATTTCTGGATGAGCAACTGTTCTGTTCTGTGTGTACTAGGGCCTGCTGGAGCAAATGGTTGGCCACAGTGAGAAATAGAACCACTGGTCTATTTCAGCCGTGCTGTTTTTCTGTATTCTATTCTTAATTTGGCTTTTGTTTGTCTAGATGGAGGCTATGTCTTCATTCCAGTGTTAATTTGCATTCTGAAAGAGATGGTTGAAGCGTCTTTAGTTCATCACCTAGATAGCAGCGGGCATGTGGCTGAGCTGCTTGACAACATGCAGAAGATGTTCCAGAGAGTTCTAGAATGTTTGGCAATCAGGCTCAGAAGTCTTCGGGAAGAAGGAATTCAGGTACTGACTGTATTTATTATTTTATTTTACAAATTTTATATCCTGTCGTTCTGCCTTCACAAGAGATACCAAGGCAACAAATAAATTAAAACATATGTGATAAAATCACATTGTAAAATGATTAAAATCAACCCCTAATCATTAGAATAAAAACAGTGAAAATATGTACAAATACATAAAAACAACAATTTAATGATCAGGAAGGAGGATCACTGAGGTAACACCAAAGAAAACAGAAAAGTCTCCACCTGCTGGCAGAAGATGACAATAGAAGAGAACAGACGAATCTCCCTGGGAGAAAGGTCCAGAATTTTGGTGCTACAATCAAGAAGGCCCTCTCCTGGGTTGCACCCACCTAATCTCAGAAGGGGCGGGCACCCAAAGCAAGGCCTTCAAAGATGACCATAGCAGTTGGCCGGGTTCATAAAGGAGTAGGTGATCTTTCAGCACCTTGAATTGTGCCCAGAAACAAATTGGGATCCAGTATACATGGGCCAAGACTGGAGTGAGCCATAGAAAGTGGATCAACAACCTGTCTGCAGCATTTTGTACTACATGAGGTTTCTGGACATTTCTCAAGGGCAGACCCATATAGCACACTTTGCAATAATTTAATCAAAACGTAACCAGGACATGCCCCACAGTGGCCGGATCGTTTCTACCCAGGAAAGGCCTCAGCTGACTAACCAGTCAAAGGTGGACAAAGGCACTCCTGGTCACAGCCGCCTCCCACTTATCCAGTAGTAGGCCTTGGTCCAAGAGCATCTCTAGACTACAGACATGTAGGAAATGCAACCCTATCCAGAACAGGTGTCCTTCCACCAGTAGTACTTCCATTTTGTCAGGATTAAGCTTCTGTTTTATTAGTCCACATCCACTCCAAAACTTCCTTCAGGCACTGGTTCAGGGTCTCTACAGCCTCTCTGGGATCAGCTGGAAGTGCGAGACAGAGCTGAGTAGCATCCGCATTTTGATGACAGCCAGGCCTCAATATCTGGATGACCTCACCTACCAGTTTCATATAGATATGAAAGAGCACAGGGGACACGATGGAACCTTGCAGGTCCCGGTAGACCAAAGGCCAAGGGGCTGAGCAGCAGTCCTCCAGCACCACCTTCTGAAACCTACCCTCTAGTCAGGATCAGAACCACTGCAGAACAATGCCTCCCAGTCTCAGCCCAGATAGGCAGTCCAGAAGGATACATGACTGATTATCAAAAGCCACTTGAGAGGCTACCTGGCTTTGGTATTTCCAGCTCATAGTAGAAGTCCTTTCCATCAGCCTTCTTTTTTTTCTGGATTATACGTTCCAGTGTTTTTTCTTGAGCTGGTAGCTGGTATTTTTCATTTCTGTGCCTATTGTTACTCTCTGTATTGTGAACTTGATTATAGTTTCTGAATTTTCTGTTTTTTTGTTTTTACCGGGCCTTTACATATCTAACTGCTATAAGCAGCTGAAGTATAAACTTCTTTCCTTGCTCTTAGAAATGATCTAGTAAACAGTACAAAAAAAATCCAAATGTCTTTAAAATTCCTAAAGAGTTAACAGGTTAACTTTTGCTTCTTCTAGTTAATTCACTCTGTTCAGGAACCTCTTGGTGAATTCATACACGTGGTCCAGGGCTGCGCTGTGACTTGTCCAGTCATTCACCACGGTGTCCTTTCTTCCCTGTTAGCTGCAGTCGTGGTTGAGACAGGTTATATGTTACAGCAAAAGGTACAGTATTTCAGTTTACTGTCTTGATGAGTGAGCTCCATTTGCACACAGGGCCAAGGGGAGAGGTCAACTATGTTTGGGCTTGGAAGAGAAGGGGTGAATGAATGTTTGATGTTACATGCAGGTCATCACTCTTTTATACAGGGACAGCACTGTAAGTTCAAGCTTATTGCCTCCCTTATTTGCAGATGTAACTTTTTTTAAAAAAAGAAAGAATCCTATTTAATCTTATTAGAGATTAAGATAAAATGGGTTTCTTTTTCAGAGTTTAAGAACTTCAACTCTTTTTTAATATGTACAATGCAGTTGGAACTACTGCATTAAGGTCTTACAAATGACCAAGGCTTTTGAAAATGCGCTGAGAGGCACACGTGGTCCAAGCGAGCAAGATGTATTTCTCAAGTGAATTCTCAGATCACCTGAACATTAACCCATATGGAAGGTGTTTCCGGGAATATCCCAGATTGTGAAGTGGTCTGCTTGGACTCATATTGATTGATTGATTTACATAGTTTTTCCTGAAGAGATCTTAAGCTACTTGTATACAGTTCCCATGCTGCCTTCTCTGTGGGCAGCTTATGGACCAAACCCTCTTAGCTTCAGCATGTCATGCCTTCCAATGAGTCTCTGAGCTATAGTCCAGTGGTGATCCAAATACATTTAGCTGGACCATTTCTCAGTGCTTTAAAATATTGTATGGCATCCTTACCAGCCATTCAGTCAGACTTCAAGAGTGTGCTTGAAAAAGTTGCACTTTGACGACTCTTGTCAAGGGGATAGAGAACAGAGGTATATTAGTGTGCATACTCCCACTCCCTTAGACAAGTCGACCACTGGCTTGGCAAGGTTTTTAAAGCTTTCACAGAAATTGTCTCAAGAGCAACCATTCTATGTCAAAGACCATATGACCTTCTGACAATAACTTAACGTTTAAGCCTGTTTATTTAGATATTTATACCCCATTTTTCTCCCCAAAAGGGGACCCAATGCAGCTTATAGTGGTACAAAAATTCAGTATAAATAAAACAAGCAACATAACCAGCTACTTGTTGAGCTGGTCTTGGGTTTAGTGGGCTGGCTCTTCAATGACTATAGACTAAAAGCATTCAGCTCTCTCCATTAGCTTGTTCCACTGGCTATGCTTCTGAGATTTATACCTGGAACAGGAAGCAGGGGGAAAAACCTCAGCTAAGACGTTCTACAACTGCCAAAGATGTTCCTCCCTGTCATCCCCTCCCTATGGCTGTGGGAGACCATAACTCAAGCTGAGAAGAATAAGAGACTTCAAAGCATGTAGTGATACTTTCCTTCATTGTGGCGTTATGGGCCCATTCAGTAGTTTGCTGTCAGTTCTGATGCAGAGATGGCCAGTAGGCGTTCCTTCATTCTTAAGCAGCTTTGAAGAATGATCAGAACCCTTGATCTTTATCTTGGTCATGGCAGCTAGACCTTCCTGCAACTCAGAATAACCCCTTCAGGGTCTTTCCAGCTGATGTGCCTTCTGAGGGAGAATTCACATTGATTACTCACTTTGACATACACCTTCAAGACAATGTCACCCTTTGGCAAGTGGGCCACAGTTTCCAAAGCCTTTTCTTGGAGACCCCACCACCACCACCACCAAAAGGCATTCTGGTATTCTACCCTCCCACTACCCTCTAATTCTTAGTTTAGTTCCGGGGCCACCAACATTTTCTTAAATGAGAGCTACTTCCCAGTGTCCGCCTCCCTCCCCAGTATGCAACAAGTTTTGTTCTGTCCTGGAAACAAAGCATAGACTAGGAAGAGCACCAGAAATGAACCTACCAGCTAAGCAGAGCAGAGCAAAATCCTATGAAATAAAAGCTTTAAAAAAACCTTGAGCAGGTTTTTTACACAACCTTCTCATGGGTCTTCTGGGAAAGCACAAGCTACTCTGCAGCAGCTGGTGAACTGCCAGTAGCTCACAAGTGACCTGTTGGAGACCAGTGGCTTAGTTAGTTATTAAATGTGTGGTCCACCTTTCCATTTAATATGCTTAAAGCTACCAACAGAAATCAGAATTGCATCAGGGCAAACGTTATGCAAAATAGAAACCTGAGGGCTGGCACTTCCCTCAGCTGCTGGTAACTGATAATGGCAAATGGCCATAGAAGGCCTGGGAAATGGAGTGGGTGGTCCTCCCTGTGCTGTGGCCATTGATTCTCCACCTCCAGAATTAAGCTGGCCTTGCTATTAAACTCACAAATGGCACAAAAAGTGTTTTGGCAATAAAAGCTGAGTGCTCCTTCAGTGCTTGATGTTTGTGGCTTTCTTTTATCCTACATATACTCAATAATTCTCTTCATGACTGCAATATTGTGCTTTATTAAAAAAGGGATTGGCTGTTCCGTAGTGCTGTTAAGGTTTAGGAAAAACACCTTAAAATTGTTCTACATGTTGTTTATTGACTTCTGGTTTGCCTTTGTAATTATCATAGTTTGAATTGATTTTCTGTATTTAGGTATCCAGTTCAGAAGAGCTAACACCACCTAAGACTTTTTCAGAGCTTCCACCACTTTCATACGCTTTAATGAGAACAGTGATTAAATCAGTGAATGTAATCAGGTAAGCTGATTACCTGTCTACGAAAAGCAGTTCTAACAACATGGCCCAATTCATATGCTATCTGCCCTATCACTGCAGCCCTTCTGTCCATGTGGTAAAGAAACCAGTGTTCTCCAGATATCTTCTCCTAGGGAATGAGATCTTTGCTCTACCCATGTGGGTTTTAATCTGATTCTGTTTTGTGAGTTTCTGGATTTTGTTCTACTGATTACTGTGTACAAGTGTTATTGAAAGCCACTTTGTGTTTTCTTAAATAAACTGAGGATACTTCACAAATAATATATTTGGTACTTTATATACAGAGCACTTTTTTTTCCTCTAGGAAACAGTCTGCTTGGGTACGTACTGCTGCTCCGTCAGTGGTGTAGGATTTCAGTAGTCAGTGGCTGCTTATAGTTGGGATACTAGAAAAGATATTGCTTTCAGGCTTAATAAAAAAGTTAACTGAAAAATTACCAGTTGTATCTCTAGTATTCAGTGATTAACCTTCAATGATGTTGGAAGAAAACTCATTTTCCCTGTTGGAACTACCATTTTTGTCAAATATAGATTACATGGGGAGAAATAGAAAGCGCTCCTTGGAGGAAGGATGGAATAAAAAACAAGAAATAAGTAAAAAAAATACAAGTTATTTATTTAAAAGAGCCAGTTTCCCTGCAGAGCATATTTTTCTGGAGAGTCACGAGTCTAGCTTGGTATCCATCTACAGCTGCATTGTAGAGATGAACTATCTAGCTGAACAGAGAAGACAGGGCTTTATTCTTCCTGGATCTTCATTATTCTTTTAGAACTGAATAAATGAAAAAAGGAAAAGTGGCTATGTACTGTTAAAGAGAAAAGGGTATAGGGCAGTAGGGGTGAGCGTTGGTATAAACCAAACCAAATAAATACCCCGAAAATACCTTATCAGTATTTTTCAGGTATTTTATTCAGCTGAATGCAGATTAGACAGTCTGATTTGGCTACCGATATAGCTAGCCTGAATAAAAGCTTTTATTTGGGCCAGCTATATTGCTGAGTCTTGCAGCTGCAGCTGCACAGCTTGGAGAAGGCATTCCCCTCACTAAAGGAGGCATGCTGTGGCAGTGGAGTGAAGGCATTTTTAAATGTCTTCCCTTCACTCCCGGAGGTGTGCCACAGTGATGGCACAACTCTGTGAGTGAAAGGAGGGCATTCTTAAATGCCTAATATATTTGAGTTTCCTGGTTATTTACCCAAATCCCAATATCACTGATACTGGGATTTGGGAATATCAGGACATACTGATGTTTTTTGGGTCCAATGGACCTGAATCTGGAAAAAACCAGTTTTTTCCCTGCACACTCCTGGAGGGTAGTGCTGAATCTTGAACTTATGACTACTTCTACGAATGCCTGTTAAACATAAGAACTCTGTAAGCTCCTGTATTGAATTTCTATTTGGATAGTTCAGTTGAGTCTTGAATATTTGGTCATGTGTTGTTCTTTTTCAGATCTTTTTTAAATGAGTTAATGGAAAGCATTGTGAATGATGAACTTGACGGAATACATAGCATTACATCAGCTGTGTATATTGTGGCTTTAATTAAAGGTGAGTAAAAAAACCTTAATCTGCCGAAAGTGTGCAGATTCTGACGTTTGGGCATTCAGAAAGCTTTGACAAAAGCTTTTGAATAAATTCAGCTGGTATCTTGGAGCGAGCATAGCTCAGTGATGGAGCACGTGCTTTGCATGCAGAAACTGCCTGGTTTTGTCCTGACATGTTTAATTAGAAGGGTCTTGGTAGGAAGACTGAGAATCTTCTGCCTGAGACTCCACCTGAGAGGACAGACTAGACAGAGCATTGGTCTGCCCAGTACATGGCAGCTTCCTATTGGCAAGATCAGAGTTAAAAGTGTCAGTCTTTGCTTTAGTGCAAATGTTCTGTTGTCAGAAGTGTTCCCTATCAAATTTGCTGTGTGGTATTTCCCTCTGTGATGTCAGGAGTAAAAAAAAAAATGTCCTGAGTGAAACATGCTGCCAACATTTTTTTCCACAGCAGTTGATTTTTTTCTCTGCCAAAATACTTGGTCATGTTTTAAACTTCAGCAGCTAACACATACTACGCTATCTCCCCCCAAAAAATTGTTTGCCGAGCATTTGCCGGGGGGCTTTTGATTCTGGAACTGTTACTTAATAATGTATAATGTTAATTTTGGCAACAAACAGACTGGGTTCTATTTTTAAGTGAAGCTAAATGGGTCTTCAATATGCTCATGTTTTTGAACAGGTAAATATAAGCCTTCTTGTATCAAAGATACTGCATCTGCCCTTCAGGGGAAGCTCACAACATACAGCGAAATTACCAAGGAAGACGTCAGCAGCACAAAACGGTAAACTTTGGGAAGGAAGTTCTCTTTCCTTGAAATAGTTTTGTGTTAAGAATCTATGCTAGCTAGAATGTGGGCTGTATCCCTTGGATATGTTCTGCTCAACAGATGCTGTCTTTTGGTGAAAGGAGCTTTTCCCTGAGACGAGAGGCTTAGAAGAGTCTTAACAGGAGAAGGCTCCTTTTGCCAGCAGAAAGAACGCCCCCCCCCCTGCGCTAGTAGAATAGATCCAAGTATTTCACATCCAAGTGTTAAACAATCTGAACGCTTATAGGTGGATTTGAGTGTATGACAGAACTGCTTTTTAATGCAATTTTCAGCTTTACATATAATTGACATTCAATCAGATGCAAGGGGTTTTTTTATTGGCTGATTTGTATTTGAGTCAACAATAAATAAAAAAACACAAGAGCTTTAGAAAAGAATGGTAAGTCAAATAGGTACAATGGAGCAAAATCAATGAATGTACCAATCTGTTTAATATTTTGTATTCAAGAATACGCCAACGAATCCAATTCACAAACTAGTGCTGTTCCTGAATCTCTTGAGGGTAATAAACAAATCTTCAGAACTAGGTAATAAAAGCTGAGACCAATTGTCCCAGGTTTATCTCATTGTAAAGCTATCCAAGTTTCTAAAATAGATTCACAGTCAGGTAGGGTTCACTCAAGGACAGTCTTTGGAAACGTGTTGTCTTAAGCAGAACCCTTTCTAGATCAGTACCCCCATGTGTGTAAAAAAGAAAAGATAAAAGAGTACTGGGCAGAGATGGGAACGTTCCAACATGTGGGGCTGCAGATACTATGCTCTTTGCCTCATATTGTTCCAGGCAGTTTTCATCAGCTGAGAGGTACAATCACCTCTTCACCTAATGGTTTTTGTTCTTGCTGTTACATGGGAAAATCAGTACGCTGGAAGATAAGCATAAACAAACATCAAGTGGAAAATGTTGCTAATGGTATAAAATTAATTTGAATTTGACTTCAAGCCTTTTGCATGAGAGTGTCAGAAATGACATAATGTGTGCGCTCTCTCTCTCTCTCTCCCCCCCCATGGAAAGTAGTGTTTGTTTGCCAGTCATTTGTCCAATTCATACAGCTTTTCACTGCTGTCTCTTTTCAGAATGCTGTACGAATTTGCTTTGCTTGCTTTGGATGAAATACTACGTCCTTGACCACTAAAGTATTTACAAGTCAAGGAAACCAAAAAGAAGATGCATTGGATCCTTCCAGCAGGAGCCAAACCACTTAACTGTGTACAGTTTGTTGCTATGGGACAGAGGGAAGGGAATGATGTGCTTTTGATTGATGCTTCCTTCTAATGCTTTTAGTGACAGCTGGCCCAGATAATCTATAAAAACAAAAATCAGAATTGTATAATTTCATAACAACTGTGTAGAAATGCTTTATAAATACTGAAATATGAATACTTTATTTTTCAAAATGCTTGAAATATACTTAAATTGCCTTTTGTGAATACAGTTTTAAAAAATCCTTGAGTATAAACAGCCTGAGCCTTCACATTAAATGTTTTTAGGATTCATTGGATAAACAGTGTAAAACCAGATAGGCTAACATGCAATCTAATGCCGAGAGTTAATGAAATAATATATAATGTATTTGGCTGGCATGGCATAATGGATAGTGTGTCAGACTGGGATCCTGGGAGACCCGGGTTCAAATCCCCACTTATACCACGGAAGTTCACTGGTTGAACTTTGGCCTGTCACAAACTGGCAGCCTGGCCTACCTCACAGGGTTGCTGTGAGAATGTGGAGGAGGGGAGAATGATGTTCTTCACTGCTTTGAGTCCCAGATGGGGAGAAAAGTGGGATATAAATGTGAACCTAAAATGCCTTCAGATATGGTCTGCTTTTAGCCTATTGCCTTTCACCAAGATTAAAGTATCTACTCCTGCTTGTAGTTGGGCAGAATAAGTAACGCCATGCGTGACATGTGTGTTGTGTATAGAAATGACTTGTGATAGGGTTTCCCTACCTCTTGCATGCGTGAGCACCTACACACATCCATAGATTGCCCTTTCCTTCCCTGTCTTTTTGACTAGACTGGTTTTTTGTCTGCAGCTTGGTAAGGGTGCGCATGCCTCACCCCCCGGGGGGAAGGTTTTGCCCTCTGGAAAGATGGAAGATTAATTTCCTACTTATTTACTTTGTCATCTGCCAAAAATAGGTGTCCCCGCAGTGAGGAAGGTGGCTGGGCTATATGATTGCACATGACCACCTGAAAAGCACCAGTTATAGAAACGTAATCTGGCTGTCTTTTTCCTTGTGGTCTCTGTGAAGACATACTTATGGGCAAGTGGATGTAGCAGGTGGGAGAGAGTGCTTGTGTCCTCAGGCAAGAAAGGCTATAAAGAACTACTGTACCAAAGGGGTCATCCAACTTTGATCGATCTTGGGGAGGAAGACTGCCAGGATATAAAACCCCTTCTCTCAGTGCACCAGCAGATACAGAGAATGCAAACAAAAGGCACTAAACTTGCTCTCTGAGTTGAGAGGATGGCTGCCAGAAAGGCCATCATGAAAGATGAAACATGGGGATAAGCTAAAGATCAGTTGGGAAAATGACCACAAAACTGGCTGCCAGGTAGGTTTCAGATTGGTAAGACCTTTAAATAACACCCCTGAGCCTTCGGGGTAGGGCGGGATATAAATCCAAACATAAATAAAATAAATAAAAATAAACAACTTTCAACAACAGAGGGAGCTCAGAGATAACTATCAAACACACAAGGATGGCATAGCAAGATTGCACCCTGTAAATGAAGGGTGTGATCCGCATGACCTTGTTAAAAGTGTTGGCAGTGGCCAAACGAGGAAAAGCTATTTGATTAAGCAAGGTTTCCTGGTGGAAAGCTTTCCCAGACATTGGAAGGAACTGGAACCATTTCTAGATGTGGGAGGTACCGGTAGGTGAACCATAGGTTTTGTTTGTTTGTTTGTTTGTTTGTTTTAACTTTTTATTTATATGATTTCCTGTTATACATCATTCGTTACGATTTACATTTCTTATTCTTTGGAGTCTTATTTATACACATTTTCCAACCATGTATACAACACTTTCCATCGTTTGTCAAAAACGTCTCTACTTTTACCTTGCAATAACAGACTTAATCTATCCATTTCAGCTACTGATAATATCTTTTCTATTATTTTTACTTTTGAAGGTATTTCATCCTTTTTCCATTTACTGGCCAATAACATTCTTGCTGCAGTAAAAAAGTAAACTATAATGTACTTGCCTGTCCTATTGTATGAATCAGGAAGAATATTTAATAAAGCAATTTCTGGTGTAAACATTATTTGTGTCCCTATTATTTCATTTATCATCTTGTAAACGTTTTTCCAAAATCTTTGAATTTTTTCACAATTCCACCACATATGCATATACGTTCCCACGTTTCTCTTGCATTTCCAACAATTTCTATTAGTGTTTGGATAACATTTTGCTGATTTCTCAGGCGTCTAGTGCCACCTGTAAAACATCTTATAAATATTCTCTTTATATGGGATTGCTTCCATAAGTTTTATTGAGTCCCACACCTTCTTCCATTGCTCAGCGCTTAGTGTTTTATGCAAATCTTTCATCCATGTTACCATAGTTCCCTTACTCTCTTCACCTAACATATGATCTGCCATTAACAATTTATATAGTCTTTGGATTAGTTTGTCACTGGATGACAGCCATATTTTGTCCAGCTCGTTGCATTCACTATAGAAACCCTTTTTCTTATCTATATTATATCTGGTGGTTAATTGCATTTTCTCCCACCAAGAAAATTTTATATTTTGCTTCATCATTTGTTCTTCAGATGTTAGATTATTGTTTTTGTCCAATAATTCTTTATATGGTATCATTTTACATTTATCACTGTTGAAATTGTTGAGGCTTCTATTGGAGCCACCCATTTTGGAGTTCTCAGATAATATCTTGTTTTAATTTCTTTCCATGTTTTCATCAGTGATCCCCTTATTATATGTTGTGAGAAATTTTTTGTGACTTTATCTTCTTCGTACCAGACATATTTATGCCAGCCCACTGCTAAGTTATGTCCTTCCAACTTTAATAGCCTATTGTTTTCAAATGTTATCCATTCCTTTATCCACGTCAGTGCAGCTGCTTTGTAATATAAATTCCAGTTTGGCACTCCGAAGCCTCCCATTTCTTTTTTGTCCTGCATATTTTTCCGGTTTATCCTTGCTTTTTTATTGTTCCATATAAATTTGTCACAGATTTTTCCAAAGTCCTTAAAGAAATTGACTTTCCTTAATATTGGGATGTTTTGTGCCAAAAATATAAATCTAGGCAGGATGTTCATTTTTACAACTGCAATTCTGCCCATTAATGATATCTTCAGATCTTTCCATTTTTCTACGTCATTTTTCACATCCTTAAGTAATTTATTGTAATTGTCATCTTTTAAAGTGATATTTCTGTTTGTTATTATAATTCCTAGATATTTAATCTTTTTTACTATTTCCATCTTGGACAATTCTTGTATGTTATCCATTTGTCTCCTTGTGCAATTTTTTGTTATTATTTTAGTTTTGTTAAAGTTAATTTTCAGTCCTGCAAATACACCATATTCTTGTATTATCTGTATCAAGTTCGTAATTGATTACATTGGATCTTCTAATATAAATACTAGATCGTCCGCATAGGCTTGAAGCTTAAACTCTTCTCTAATTTTTAGCCCCTTAATTAGAGTGTTGTTCCTTATTTGTTCTGTCAGCGTCTCTAAAGTGAAAATAAATAGCAACGGAGATAGGGGACATCCTTGTCTAGTCCCTTTTTGGATTTGTATGTCCTGTGTCATGTCATTATTCACTTGCACCTTTGCTACTTGAGTTTTATAGATTGCTTTGATCATTCTGAGAAAGTTTTCTCCAGAGTTCCATGCTTCTAATTTTTGTAACATGAACTCCCAACTAACATTATCGAAAGCTTTCTCTGCATCTAAAAATAATCATGCGACTTCTTTATCTGGATTCATCTCATAGTATTCCAGGACATTTATTATTATTCTAATGTTGTCCTTTATTTGTCTCTTTGGCAAGAAGCCAGCCTGGTCCTGATGTATTGTTTGTACTAATATTTTCTTCAATCTCGCTGCTAGTATTGAGGCAACCATAGTTTGTTGAAGCCACCAGTGAACTAATTAGAATGCAGCTGGTCTCATCCAAAGAGGCTACCCAGAATACTTTTAGTATGAGAAAAGATGCACATGACAGTATCCTATGGAATCAAAACCGAATTCCCTAAAGAACAAGAAACACAACGACTCTGCTGCCACAACAGCTTTAAGACATGCACAGAAATTCATTCTCTTTCCCCTAGAGGAGAGAAGTATCGTTTTTCCAGCTTTATGCCCTTAGATGTTAAAATAAAAACATATGTATAGGCACAAAACTTATATAGATACACCTGCAAAGAGAAATCCTTAAGAGCGGCAACAATTATGGGTGTAATTGCTTTGTCTATCATTCTGTATTGGATCTCTTTGATCTACATGCCCACTTATGGATGGAATAGGGCACCTAACCTCTGCCTAAGACATCACTGATGAGTGCTCTTCAAAACTTTCAGAAGGGATGGCTCTGCATCAACCTAGGCAGTTAGTTCCACTGTTGGACTTTAATTTCAAATAATTTCCCCCCCAAAGTCACCTCTTTGGTAACATATGATAGCATCTTTTATATGTAAGAATTCTCCTTGGTGTGCTTGCTGCTGTACCGCCCATTCATGTGCATGGTCTCCATATTAGTGCAAGGGATGCCGTTGACTAAGCATGCACATATACAATCAAGAGTTCCTCAAATTAAGCCCAGGGTGTGAAGGCAACCTTCAAAGGAGGAAAGTTAGTATGTTTAAAAAGCAGCCTCTCTCAGAATCACTTAAGGAAGCATGAGTTGCATAAACTGTTTGAAGTTGAGACTGGTAAACTAAGAGCTCTGGGCTAATAAGAAAACTTCTGTGTCAGCCTTAGAAACTAACTGTGGAAAGCAAACGTAAGTTTAGCTGTCAGTTATGTTAACATGCATAAGTATTTTCAGTATTGAAGGTCAGAGTGTAAACCACCAGAATAGATAACTCAATTTTGATTCAAAGCTCTTCAGTGAATGGGGTTGGTCCTTTGTAACGAAATGAGAAGGGAAAATAAAATCAATATCTGACTTTATGCAGTGCAAAAATGACCCAAATCAAAGCAGTC